ACATATCAACACCTGCATCTACCGATAAATTGTCGTCTCGTTCTACTGAAGTCCTTCTCATAGTATTTGTTGCGAACTGATAGAAGCCAGAGCAGTTAAAATAATCTAAGTGTTACCAGAATTTATAAAGCCTACTATTTCTATTTCACGACATTATTCCAGCATTAATAAATAGTTTCAATTGAACTTTACCACAGTTATCACGTGAAGGATCGATTGCAGTGTGTGATTGCCTATCTCACGTCAGTGATATATTGCACATGGACTTACTCGTGGAACCAACAGAAATCGAAATGTTTCAAACAAAACTGAACTCTCTGCCTTCAACGGTAATTATTGAATATTCACGAGAGCATGCTTTTACTGAATAACTTATCGAATGTTTTGTATATAGCGAAGTCACAAAGTTAAGTGAGCTCGAAAATCAATTCACCTATGACAATATATGTACCGGTAGAATAAATATGTTTCAGTGTTTCAATCGTGTAAATGTTATGGACCAGTAGTACGGATGCTGGAGACTAATTAGAACCAATTTTCAGACTTTTTTAGTTTAATAGTATTTGTATTTAACCTGGTCTATGGTTAGGCTGATTATATCGTTTACCAGAATCTGCAAATTCGACTCCTGGATGACAGAACAGGACAGCGGATAACTCTTTCCCAGAAACATCGTACGTGAAACATCTGTTTGCTGCTGCTCATAAACTGCCATTTGATCGAATCGGCATATTTATTTTGACGGTAACTTCCTGTGAGACGGGTACTTCAGTATGGAGAAATTAAATCAACACTAAAAAACACAAATTAGCGTTCGGAGAATTTCAATTTTTTCTGGTATGATTAAAAGTCTGTTTCGACAAATAAAATTTTTATTTCTCTCTCATATGATTCATGTACTATATCATTTTTGAACCTCTGGCAATCTAATACAAATAAAATACTGATTAGGATTGCGAGTTATTATTTGAGATGTTTCTAGGAAACGATAAATTTAGATCGCAGGATTCAATGTACTTGTACATTGGTCTCGATTTCGTAAATCTTCTGGGTTTTGTATGGCTACTGGCGAGCAGTTTTCCCCTCAATAAACTGCAACGAATGACGTTGGATACCTCATGGGTCATTTGGAAACTCCAGCAATGAGTTCGTTTCCGTAAAGATTCGTGATATTAAGTGACTAAAAGCATCTGGATCTAAACAACGTTTACTTTACAGCATATTTATATTGAAAATAAATGGAAACTTTTTGTGGCATGGTATAAAAGTAGAATAAAGTATTAACCGTTTTATCCCAAAGCCTTTATTCAAAGGAAGTCCTTTGTATTAAAATTGCCTAATTCGTTCTGATAAATTTGTATAAAGTTATCTGCTCAAAGTGGCGTGGTTAAATAACTACGCCAGCGTTTCCCCAAACTTTTTAGCCACGAACTCTTACGTTTTTTCAACCTGCCTCGAGGAACACCAAGAATGAGAGGGTAAAATTGACAACGAAAAATGGTATAACACAGTGTTTCCCTGAGAGCTGGGCCACACGCCAATGCGCCGACTTAATGTGGGACGATCTTCCCCTCACCTTTACCTGTTTTATAGCCGTCTCACATTGTTGCCCTTTTTCACGGAAAAGTATGAAAAATTTCATCTTGACGCTTATCCCCTGTAGCGACTGCATTGATGCGTAGTGGTCGTCTCGGTAACTGGAATAGTTTGTTTATTCTAAGATGACGCGTTTTACGTCATATCGTACGATCCAAACTGCAAAGAGGCGTGTCTGCATCTGCATTGCGTGATATCGATGTATTTAATATTGATATGCTAAGTAGGTCAATCATAAAGTCGATAAAAGACTTCGCGCATTCGGCTTTGTTTCGCGATTGTCATTTTTTGATAGATCAAAGTCTGCGCGTGTCGGCATCTGCTTGATTTAAAAAATAAATTAGTGTCATACAACATACAGACATATGCATGCGGTGAACTCGTGGGCCAAAAAGACAGAAAGAGGATTAAATAATAAATGAAGTACAGTGCAGTACGTTTCAGCGTAAACTGGGAGATGGCGATACCACCATATAGCCATAGGTCGTTGAAGTCAGCTGTTCCTGAATTTAGACAATTTTTTGGTGATGAGAAAGAAAAGTAAAATTGATTCAGACCAAGGCTGCAAGGTGTGTAAGTAAGTAAGTGTTTATTTCGATTTTCCAATACAACAAAACAATACATGGCAAAACAAACAAATGTACGGAAAATCAGGAAAGTGGGCAAAATCTAAAAAAGATTTAAGACGTGCTGGTGCACGTGCCCACTTACCCCAAACAGCAAACAACACATTGAAGTAAATTGAAAATAAGGAACACGAAAGATAATTCGGGCGTAAATACTTGGGTGTGGATGTGGAGTTTTAACAGTGTGTGAAGGTATACTCTAGTACGGTAGTAATTGTATACAGATGGAAGTTAGGCGTGTTCTGTAGTTAGGGTATTAGCCAGTCTGGATTTCATGGCCTTTTCGAACGAGAAATCGGGCGTGCAATCAGAAATTCCCGCGTGCAAATAAGAATTTCTGGCGTGCAATTATAGCTCACGGCGTGCAAAACAACTGCGTCCGCTAAACTGATTTCGAACTAACATACCTCTCAATACATCCGCTTAAAAATATCATAGGATCATAGCAAAAATGGACGTTTGACCTTTGACCCCCAAAACATCATTTCTATATTTTGTCACTAATTTTGAGAGTGTTTGTGCGACTTTAGATACCGGTACTGTTCAGTACATCCGTGTAAAATTATTGTATTAAAAATACGCTGAATCAGAGCCATAACTGGCCAGCGTCGGTGAGGAGGCGATTTTTCTCACGGGATTCCTATCATTCAACACGATATGGTGATTTTTGCTTCGCATTTTTCGATCAGGCCAAATCTTGCAAGCAAATATTAGTCGACAATTGTAAAGTTATAATTTTTTGGCATCTTTATATTACTAGATTATTGATTTAAAAACTATTTAAACCGATTTACATTGGTGAGCAATTGCAAATTTTCGGCGTGCAAAATTGAATTCGCTCGCGTGCATTTTTGTGGAGCGCTAGCGCCCTCGGGCGTGCATCTGCCATGGAATCCAGTCTGGGGTATTAGTGTGTAAACATGTGAATTCTGGAATTACAGAAATTTTCAGCCTTATCAAGCAATAATACAATACAATAATTTTATTTCGATCTTTCGTCTTCAACACGAATAAAAAGATCACAGACAAGGTCAACTGAAAGATAGGGAAAATGGGCAAAACCTATATAAAGGTTTATAACGAACGCTGTAGCCAGCGATTGTGCCCATTCACCCACACTCACACACAGGAAACACACCAAGACAATCATACTAGCATAAATTAATGAACAGAGTACATGATCACGAGAAAATAAATTTCATGGGCAAAGCTTACTTGTAATGTTGTAAATAATTTTGATGAGTGAAAGTCGTGATTAATACAAAAACATTTAGAAGTGATGTGACGGTGCCTGTGCCGAAATGCGAATACCAATAATAACAATTAATTGATTAGCTGCTGTTCTTTGTAAACAAATAAAACTAAAAAGTAAACAACAAACATAAAAACACGGAAACTAGTTTCGGGCGTTGCTTCTCATGTTGCAAAATTGGTTCGAATTCGTAGAAATTGGGGTAAATGTTTTTATTCTTTGCAACATCCAACATTCTGGAGCTTCCATCTTGTTGTGTTGAACATCGACTGTTCCTATGAATTGTTTCTCTCGCATGAATTTACTGACCAATCCAGTGTCGGCAGCTAGATTCAATCACTTGTTACAAGTGATCAACGCAATTCTTATCAAAGCAGCTCCAATGTATAAAAGCTAGTCTGTATTCAATCCTGTTTGTCCGGTTTTCCAAATTTTAGTCCAAATATTTTTTACTCCAGTAGTCCACCGTGTAATACCACGTCCGCACCCGACGGCGGTCTGACGTCCGCACCCTACGGCGGTCTGACGGTATCAATGACGGTATGTGTTTTTTGGTCTTTATTTTTTTGTAGTTCAAACTTTACTTTGAACGCGAATTATAATGAAAGTAAAAGAATTATTGATATCAGTGTGCAGGTGTGGGAGGGGATAACTGGAAGAGTGTATGTGAATCACATTACTTTGATTACTGCATAAACAAAATATATTATTCAGATATTGCTGTATCAGTCTACCACAGGGGTGGGCAACATACGGCCCGCGACGAGATTTTGACCGGCCCGCTGACTGTACATCAGTACACTATGATATTACATTATTACAATTTTAGTACAATATGATAAATTCATTATGTGTTTTTTGGTCTTTATTTTTTTGTAGTTTAAACTTTACTTTAAACGCAAATTATAATTTTCTTTCTTGCATTAGCGAATAAATATGTGATTAAGATATTGAATACTATTCATGTTATAATCCGGCCTGCCAAGAACTTCATTTTCCTTCATTTTTGCTATAGCATTCTTGCGTTATACGCATAAGGATCCACCTGCGCAAAGGAATAGAGCAGTGATTAAGTTGATTTCGCCCATGGACTGTTGGATGACTTTTGACTGGACTTCATACCTAGGCCAATAGTTCACACACAACCCCCCCCCCCCACATGAGTTGGTATAGTAATAATTTTTAATGTTTTAATCCTTTAGTTTGTTTACTGGTTAAATACAGGGTTCTAGTTTTTCGAAGGTGACCCATACTTGACACCACCTGGCCCATACCTTGCATGATAATTTATTTTTAAATGACATTTTTGTTGAAAAATTCACTTTTTCTCAAAGCTGGTTCTAATAATCCCCAAAAAATGCTGAAAATGATTAGGTATTATGTTTAACTTTCAGTGAGTAAAAGAGTCATTATTTAGAGCAAAGGACGAAAATGGTTTACCCTACCAAACTTTGGTGGTCCATCCATACCTCTCCACTTTCCCCTATATACAAGATCACCTTTTTTATTTTCAGGTTATATTATTAGATAGAAATTAATATGAAAGATATTAAAGTTCAATAAAAAGTTATTCAAACTGAAAAAATCAAGAAAACTTAAAAGTATAATGGAAAAGAAAACAATCTCATTATTTATAATATTTTTCGTCATCGTGACAAAAAAAGAATTTTCTTCTGCGCTACCAACAAACATTTCTGAAGAAGCAGAACTAAGATTTATAAAAAATGTTTACGAAGGCGAAGACAGTCGAACACTTTTTATGGAAAAAGTGCAGAAATTAGGACGAAATAACACAGACGCGGAGTTGAATATGCTTTTGCCATATAATAACCTAATGTCTCTTGGGTCCCTCAAGTGTTCCGCTTGCAAATTGACATTAGAGTACGCTCTGTGGAAGTTCAAAAAACCTGACGGAACTTATGATGGGTTGCCAGAGTTTGTTGAATCCGCCTGTAAAAGATTGAAAATAGAAACTACAGACGTCTGTGATGGGATTGTAACAACTTATAAATCTGTGGTAAGCACTTATTTTATTTTCAAAAAAAATTTGCTTAAAAGCAGCCAGGGTCACATGTATTCCGAAGCAAAGTTTCCCGGAATGCAAAAAAAATACTGAAACCAGGGATTGCCAGAACCACATACTTGACTATTTCGAATACATTTGAATTTGGAATTTTACTTCATTCTAAAATACCCCAAATCTGCCATGTGTCATAAGCACTTCATGTCGGCGCTAATTGAAATCTTTTGAAATTGGCTGTAATTTATTGCACAAGTCTGTCTTCGATTACGATGAAAAAAATTATTGCAAAATGTTTTTAATCGAAATGAAATGGCGCTAAGTGTGTGCAATATTTAATATTCTTATCAAAAGGATATTCGAATATTGAATTCAAATTGGCCATACCTGACTGAAACCATATAGATTTATGATGATGCATCATGTGCACTTATTCAGGAGATTGATTTCTGAGAGAAGCTTTTTACTGAAATACCAAAAGACTAAAAAAAAAATGTTTTCAGAATAAGTGGTACTCCCGTAGGGTGTGTACCTGGTTAGGGTTAGGCTATGTCTTTATTCCGATTTTCCTTATTTTAGTTCTATTTTGGGGACTGTCTGTGTTAGCCAAGTGGATATACCCCCTGCCCATAAGTTTCAGTTCCTTTAGACGACTTCATGTAAAGTAGCCGAACAAAAATAGTTACCTCCAAATTGGTACACATACTTCTGGAGCGCCAAATAAGTGTAGTGTAGAATTGTCATAGTCGTTTTGCTAATTGTAATAGTTATCTTATCTTTTCAGGTTCTCACTTTATTGCATGAACTCCAGTTAACAGGCGAACAAGTTTGTGGACTTATCCTTCCATCAACTTGTTACTCCGCAGATTTACCTTGGAATAAGATTAAATGGAACGTTACAATACCTGGTGTCATCCCCAAGAATGCCACATCATCATACACCAGAAATACTAGAGGCACAAAAAGCACAGCCCGAGTTTTACACCTTTCCGATATCCATATGGATTTAAATTACAAGCTGGGTGGAAATGTCGACTGCTCTGAACCGTTATGTTGCAGGGACACTAAGAAAATGAAATCTGACTCAAGGCAAGCAGGGTATTGGGGCAGTTTAGGATATTGTGACACACCTTACTGGACTCTTGAAAATTTTTTACAGCAAACTTCAAAAAATACGTACGATTATATTATCTGGACTGGAGACTTACCAGCTCATAATGACTGGAGTCAGAGTCGTGACAATCAGATTTCTGTCCTATATAATCTCACTTCTCTGTTAATAAAATATTTTCCGAAAACCCCAATCTACCCTTCTCTCGGAAACCATGAAAGTTTCCCGGTCAACAGTTTTCCTCCCCGGTATGTGGACGACAACAATTCAATAACATGGCTTTACAAGGCACTTACAAAAGCATGGTCGCCATGGTTACCAGCCGATGCCCTTAAATCTGTGAGCCAATCAGGCTGCTACACGACCCTAGTACGGCCAAAGTTCCGTATTGTGTCATTGAACATGAACTATTGCAACCAACAAAACTGGTGGATGCTGATTAACCCTGTTGACCCAAATCATGAACTCGAGTGGCTTGTGAGTACACTTCTGAAGGCAGAGCTCAACGATGAGAGGGTTCACATTCTTGGACATATTCCTCCAGGTAAATGAGTGTTATTGTAATACAGTTATTTTATTTTTTCATACACGCAATGGATAAGTCGAGAACATCCATTTTGTAATTATTTGTTACCAATCCATGTCTGATATGAAAATAGTTTACCATATACTCGTATGGGATACATAAACTTAATAAACATAAATATATACCCAGATCAGACGAAACGTTACACAAATATATCAGTGTTAGTGTGCAGCTGGACACACTAAAGATCACTTAGGTTAATTATTTCTACTCTTGCTCAAGCCTCCTTGCATTATAACCATACTGATACACTAGCACAAAGGCATAGAAGAAAGACAAGTAGCTGAGAGATAGCCCCACAGAAGACAAATTATAATCTAGAAGGTTGTGAAAGCCGTGAGCCTATAATCAACTGACTAGGGGTTATGTAAACCACAGTACAGAGGCGAATGGTCCAGCAATCCCATCGCATATTATTATATCCCACCGGATTCGAACGATTCCATTACATTTGAACCCACGACAATTGCACCTGCATACTCTTGCACCTACGGAAATTTGCATCTACAGATATTTGAACCCATACTAACCCTAACCCATGGATTTTAGCAACGATATATAGATTGAACCCACTGATATACGGGTGCAAATGTGCGTGGGTTCAAATGTGCTGTCACCGATTCAAACATGTGAAATTGTTTAGGGTGATGGAGGTTTCATGGCATGTTCCCAACGGCTAGCTTGATGCACCAACCATCGAGCCATAAGTGACCTATTTTGCGATTCACAAATATGTGTGATATTATAGTAAAGCAAGAACAACTGATAGGAAGTCTACCAATAGTGCATGTAATAGAGAAACGCCTGAAAGTGCTATATGTTTACATTGTTGTTTTAATAACTTGATAAACCTCTTCGTGGTCACCTCAAACTATGGATAACCCTGGTATTATATGTGGCATGTAATGATTTATAACATGTAATTTGTTACATGTGAATGCTGTGTTAGATCGTGAAATACTCTTCATTAAAAATAAATTGTGAAACTAAGCAAAGACTGAGATATGGAGGCTACTATTCATAAAGTCTTGAAAATGCAAAGGGAACTTCTCGATACCATATATTGTTTTGGTTCTCACAGATAGATTGAATGAAGTAAAAATACTTAAACAATTACTGATTAAAAAACAACAAACCTGGTTAATAAGATATATTGAGAACTTACTTCATAACAGATTAAAATTGTGAAGCGGCTTCAGGGACACCCTACCCTGTACATTTGGCTGTGCAACTCCAAATAAACAATGGAGTTGATCAATAATAATTCAATTACTATTAATTATTGATTATCGAGAACAGCTTGACATAGGAGTAAAGTTAATTACTATTATTTAATTAATGAGCAACCCAATTAACATATGTCAGACAGATTGTAGCTACTAGTTCTCATACTTAGTGGAATTTTCGTAGATGAATCATTTATGTAATTTATTTGGACAAAAATATTTTATACTAATTTCACAAAACTCTAAGCTTTTCATTAAGATTAGCCAGCCCGTTGTTTTGGATACATGGACTTGGTTGCTTAGTTTTGTAGATGGTTTCTCTCCGCGAGATAACTATAAAAACCCTATCATATTACTATGAAGCATTTGTTTTTAACAGGGAGCCCAGATTGTCTTCCGATATGGAGCCATAACTATTACAACATTATCAACCGTTTCAAAGACACAATCGTTGCTCAATTCTTCGGCCACACTCATTGGGATCAGTTGGAAATTTTCTATGATGAAAAGACCAAGTCCGTTCCTACTAATATGGCTTACGTTGCTCCGAGCATAACAACATATCCTAATATGCATCCTGGATACAGGTATGGGCATTGAAACTTGATAATATGATTATTTTGATTTCATAATCAGCATAACAAATGACAAAATAATTGATAAAAATAAATAACAACTGATAACAAAATCAGGACAGCAAGCAAAACTACAGTAATTTAATTAAACACCAAACGAAGTGGGATACATACGTTCAATTTACCTGTACTCGATTCTGAAAAATAACATAAAAATCAAGTGAGACTCATTAAATTATTATAGAGTTCCATGAAATCTTGAAGGTATTTAAACTTGCAGAGGGAATTTATCAATACCATATATTGTTTTGGTCCTCACAGATTTATTAAATGAAGTAAAAATACTTAAAAAATTAATGATTAAAAAACAACAAACTTGGTTAAGATATAGCCTATTGAGAACTGACTTCATAATCATAAGAATTGTAAAGGGACTTTATGGACACTCTGTATTATCAAAAACTTATATTATTCTTTTGTATAATAATAAGGAGATGGGTGTATGAACTTGAAGTCAGTCTCTATATACGATCAGACTGAAATGTCTTAACAAGGATTGGTCTTGTCTTTGTCAGAAAAATGAATTGATTGATTACCTGACATTTCAAAATTTCTTGAACAGATACCAGCAATACCTAAGGAAATTCCCTACTTTCTATTTTTTAAAAACTAGTGTCTGTTTGAAACAGAATTCAAATATTAAAGTAAGGAAGAAGTTTTTTTATCAGCCTGGGGTTAGGTTGAAACACAGTCAATTGTGCGTGGGATTAAACTTTTCGTTCATTACTTTAAATTGCTGTCGAAAATTTTGTGTTAAAATTGTACGTTGGAAACGCAGCGAGTGCGTAATCGTGACGACTGTTTCAGAAAGGAATAGGAATTTCCGAATTTTAAAATCCCCACCTATGAAAATCCTGGCTGCTTGCCCAGAACCATAGTTCGAGTAAAGATATAAACCAGAACCACTCTGGACTTTCCAAAAATAGAAGCTCATTTTTTATCCCAGCAAATTGTGAATAGTCCAGTTCATAGCAATGGTGGAAACACAAACCCAGCTGAAAGGCGCCTGCCTAATAGCAATATTTTATGCAGACTAGAGATTTTTCAATGCATTTGCTGACTTCAGCAATTCAACTAAACTTGGATACTGGATCACATTTAATGACATCATTTAACAGTCTGGAATTTCTTGAAGTATTTTTTATTTCAAAATCTTATTGATCACTCGTTTCAAACAACTTTGTATAATTGCGACAACAAAGATTACGTAATTCAGATCACAAAATATGTTTGCAGTTGCATAACTTGCTGCAATCAATGCAGACCTCAATCTGTATTTACTAACATGCAATCCGGTATAGTTTCGGCAGTTCTTGGGGTGCTCCCGTAGTATTCATACCAAGATGGCGCACAACCTGAACATAGTATGTGTACCAGGTTAGGGTTGGCAGGTTGTGCGCCGTCTTGGTACAAATACTACGGGAGCGCTGTTCTTGGCACTTTTGGAGTCATGCGTAATTACTAGGGATGCGACAAGATTCGGACTCGTGCTCGGATTCGTGGCCGAATCTCTCGTAATTTGATACTCGGATTCGGCCCGAGTCTTTGATGATTTTACCCGAGTCCGGGATATCATACGTCACGCAATAGTCAAGCGCAGACTGGTGGCGGATTCGACGAGAAATTCAACTTTTTCGTTCTGTTTTGCCACGAGACTGTCCAGTCTATTTTCTCTACGGTGAAATTAAAACTAGGCGCCAAAACTACAAATTCACGACGCCGTAAGAACAAAAAAATGTCAGCGAAAGTCAGCTGAATAAATTCCAGTGTTGCGCGTGTAGCTTGCCTTCCAGTGCTAGACGTCGTTTAGTGAATGTTTACCACGTCCTATTTCAAGCATATACTTGCTAATCCTCTAACAGTGATTAATCCGTAATCAGCGGTAACCATGTCGCGCTGTTCGCCTTCTATCGTTCCATAAATGATCTAGCTATTTCCGGAGAGAAACAAATGTTAGAAATGAAACGATAAAATAGTGAAAATTACGGTTCTTTTAAAAGAAAAGTAGCCTACAACTCGCAGATGTCAGTGGCGTTACAATCGTATATAGGTATGTATGAAAACAATCTCGCAAGTCGCGTCGATTAAATGTGCATAAATTTGGAAACTATTACTCGTGGTAATTGGATGTTAATCGGGTCGACTTTTTATTTTTATTCAATAAGTATTTACATACACCGCGATAGTGACGGGCAAAATCGAATTTTTCCTGATCGAATAATTCGACTACCGTATTTCTTTTAATTTACCGATAGTAGAATATTACTAGAAGACTGGAGACTCGATAACAACGCGGCGTCTTTACTTCTTATCCGTAATTTTATCACAATCGTGAATTGTTTTTTTGTCACCGCGATCGTTTCGGCGACCGACATCCCAATTATGGTTGGTAAACTATATTTTTAAAGCACCCTTTTTCACTATCAGTTCTCACGCAACGCCGGACATCGAAGTTTCGTTTTTATATTTCAGGCAGAAGTGTGAGTACAAATCGGCGAAGATATTAAAGACAGCTATTAATTAGTGAATTCATAAATATATTAATTTTATTCTGGCCCCATCTTCTGGATTTGATCTTCCATATCACAGTTTGTAAATTACGGTCCCTATTTTAAGCGAACAATACCCATCTGTGTTATTTTAATATTAGATAATAAATAAAAACTCCGGAAACTTACCATTGCGTGCTGTTTCGAGTTATGGCATTTCTACCTAATCGAAACAATATTTCCATATAATACATAATTTACCTGCCTCACTCAATCTGGTTTGACGTTTCTATATGTGAAAAGGTGTTGGCGCGCTTTATGCAAAATTGGGAATTGTTAAGATAGCGATAGGCGCAGAAAGAAAACCATAATAATTCTCACATTTATCGTTTCTGTCTGTTAGCGAGAGTCGTATGTGAATTTTTACTCGTAACTTTCACTTCTAAATTAATGTTAATAAATTTGATTTTGCTTTTCAAACCGCCGTTATTTGTATTAATGAAAATGATTGTGTCATACAGCCGTAACTTAGCATATAACACATTTCGCCTTTTGCGTCTCTCTTTCTTATTGAATCAAAATCAACAATTACACATTCTTATTTTCCGCGGATTCGACAATCGCTATTGATGGTTTTCAAACGAAGAATAGATAGCTATTTTGTTACGATATATTTATAAGATACATTTATTCGATGCTTCCACTGTTGGCAATTCCTTATTAATATCTCAGTTATCACGGAGATGGGCGTCTGTATCAGCGCCGACTAAAAAAGATAACATACGAGTAAAGATTTCCCATAAAAAATTTGTTCCAAACGTGTGGGTTATGGCCCGTATTTATCGTGACAGGACACGAGCGCGGCGTCTTCAGCAGTCGACGCGGCGTCTTCAGCAGTCGACGCGGCGGTCGATCAGAGTTACGTAACAAAGTATTCCTTCGACGGGGAATATGACCTATTTATTCTAATTTAAACTAGTTGCTCAGAGAATGATTGTCTCGAAAGCAATAGTGTTTATGTGCAACGTTTTTAAATTACATAGTCTTTTCATACATAATGTTTAATTTACGGCCAATATACGAGAACAACAGCATCACTTTAGGTATTTGTTTCGTAGCTATGTAAAAGTATTGGACTCGGGACTCGGACACGAGTCCAGCACAAATACTCGGGATTCGGCCGAGCCGAACCTTTTTGGATTCGTCGCATCCCTAGTAATTACCGGTAATGTCTTTAATTTCTGAGTGAGCACATGTAACCTTTTTCTGAGCAAATTTTTTTTTTAAATCTGTGTGTGTTCCGAAGTTTTTATGTATGAACTAAATCAGACTATTTTGCATTTCAGGGAATATGTCACAGATGGCTTTTATGAGGGAAGCACTTGGAAGGTATTAGACCACAGCACATATATCCTAAATCTAACAAAAGTCAACTCTCAGCCAGCAACACAAGAAGCAAAATGGGATATGCTTTATTCTGCCAGAAGTGCGTTTAACTTAACAGACTTATCCGCAACTTCTTGGAACGAACTCGTAAACTCGTGGATAACACAAGATGGCGCCGATTCAAGTTTTCAAAAATATTATTACTATTTTTATAAGGGGAATCCCCCGACCCCAGTTTGTGACAAATCATGCAAAAAGTCAATGTTATGTGATATAAAGTCAGCAAGGTCTGGGGATAGTCAGGATTTTTGCAATAATTTGTGATTGTGTTTATAGCGGCGGGTTTATGTCCAGCGGAACCACCTACTCATCCTTTTTCTTAACATTTTTGCTCAATTAGTTCTAAAACAAGAATGCTTTAGCTCTTATCTACTATATACAAAGTTCTCATAAGGTCCCATATTCAATTAGGTTAAAAACTTGATTAAATGAAGTAAAAACACTGATCAATTAAAATAATACGGATCCTGTTAAGTTATATTGAGAATAGACTTCACAACAAAATTTTAAAATTCTAACTGGACTTTGTGAACACCCTGTATATTTGATATCCTATATTTGAAAATATTTCTTTAGAATAGATTGGGCGTAGCAAATTGTTCAGATCAGGACATCCCTGATTGAGAGACAGAAAGTATACATGACTGTATATAAAATTAATTTTTTTGTTGATATTCAATGGTGGTACAATATCTTGTTCATATGCAAATTTACATGTAATTAACTTTTCTTTGTTTAAAATTGCGCATTAATTTCATAAATTGATGATGGCAAAAATTTTTAGGGCATATGACGTCATAAAATGAACTTTTAGTTATTCAGAATTTCTAATACTTCTAGGCAAATCCTGTCTAATGTCTGACTGAGCCCTCTTCTGAAACAAGTTTGATATTCCTATTCCCTAAATGGATTAGTGTCCAAACAAAATGCTGTGGTTAAACATAGGATTAAGTCATCTTGCTGGATTCCCAAATTGTGTCTCCGAATTGAATAAAGTATTCAAATCGATACTGTCATGATATAATGGTATTCCCAAACTTCTTGATTTTTGGAAATATTTATTATAATTTATTTGGGAATTTGTCATTTCCATAAATTAAAAGCTCACACCATCACCTAAAAAATATTGTTTGAACTCAATCAAATCTCGGCTTTCTTTTTTCAAAGAGCGAATACTCCAAATTCAAAAATATATTAAATTACTTGCATACTCGTTTTTTTTCTGTCACCTTGTGGAAAAAAAATTATTTCATTTCTGTTTTCCTTCTATAACACGAATATATATAAAGTTGCTCCATGGATCCAACAATTTCTTCAATGTTGATATTTGGTGCAAACGTTCCTACTATTGTTTAAGTTCATTTAATAATTAATATAAAGTCAAACTGTTTTCCATCAAGGAGCATAGCCATATACTGGCTTGCTTGTTCCTTCCCATATACGGATATTGACAGATTTTTATTCATATTCCTAATGTCACAATAATTTTTTTCTTCAATTTTAGGAATAAAAACCTATGAATAGTTCCGATTAACTTTAAAAATCTGACATAGGAATGTTACCTTAAAATTCTTAACTGAATTTTCTATCAGTTTATGTACCAGGCGAAAACAAAATTGTTCAAAATTTTTTTTCTAGAACTTCAGCTATGTGGAATTCTTGTAGATGTTTTTATATCGTATTGACATGAGTTCTTGTTAATTTTGGTTTACTGAAGCATGATATACTGCCTTAATTCTATATAGTAGATGTTGGCACTTCAGGGACTGCTCGTAACTTTGCTGAGAGATAAAAGTCTCCTTTGTTTGTGAATGAGTGCCCATATCTTTACTTTGAACAAATTTTCCTCGAGCTCGAGCTCTGTATTTTCGCATTTGTGTTAATGCTATGTTTGCTCAGAGATTCTGTTAAGTTATAACAGTTTCAGATTTAAGAATCATAAATGTTCGTTTACTTTACTCAATCCCTTGTCTATTGGTGATTTATTCATATGCCAGACTAATGTTTTTGTCTTCCAACTTTTTCAAATCCTTATGACATCATACTCTGATTGAAGGGTCAAATATTTTTCAAATGATTTGTAAGATATGTCGTCCATAGTTTGTCCGTCCTGTTTATCACATTTTTGTTCAGAATATAAAAGTTTCTGGACAAGCAGCCGATGGTATACCATTAGAGGAAGAATAATCTTTATTAGTATGTTGCCCATGCAATCTGAAACAAATAACTGGTTAACTATACCAATTTTGTATGAACTGCTAGCCAGACATAGGTTTGCTATCTGATTGAACCATCTAATCTAAAATCCCATGCTAGCTACAGTCTTCAAATCTCCAGCCGTCACTGATTTGTATGTCATAGGCAGTCGCATCAGCAGTTTTTCAAAAGTGAATGGCAAATAATTAAAAAAGGAACACAAAATAAAGGGTACTCCTGAAGTATGCGAACCAAGATGTCACATAACCTGAACCCTAACCTGGTACACAACCTGAGTTCAGGTTGTGCGCCATCTTGGTGCGCATACTTCGGGAGGTCCAAATAAAGTCTTTTAAGATTTATTTTCAAATTCATTTGGCAAGTGCTATTTTGAAAACATACTAAATGAAGGCTGTCAAATTTTCCAACCTCTCTCCAATTCACCCCATATTAGCATTGCTTGTAGGGGCTCTTCCCAAAAATACTGTCCCCACAGTCCAATACACGTACATGTTATTTTCCGGTTGTCCCACTGTAGTATATCTTGTCTTGGAAAATGCGTATATTAGTTTGTATTATATTTCTTTTTGTGTTTAAACTTTGTGAATAATTGAAAAATATGAGTTTATTGTAATTCAAGTTAATTCAATATTGTGATGTTTATGCGGAAAAGGGAATGGGTTTCAGTTTACATCAGAAGATCGCTTATTCGCTGATGTTGGCATGGAGGGAAAAAATTGGATTGCGGTTCAACGCTACGGGTAAATCAAATTCCGATAACACAAGCATTGGCGCATATATGCACGGTACACTTGTTGATTGAAAAATAAGATCACCTAGGTCAGGGTGGTCCAAACCCAGGCCCGCGGGCCACATGTGGCCCGCCACTTCATTATCTGTGGCCCGCGTCGCATTTGGAGCGGAATCAAAAAATTACATTTTGTGTTGTTTCGTCATAAAATTAACCGAAAAATCTTTTGACATATTGTTGCATCACCAATGTCACTGAATTGACTACAGTGTTATGGCTTGCTGAGGCAACTAGCGAACTGGCACTAGTGTGGCCCGCGAACAATGCAAAAGTAATTTTGTGGCCCGCGGAGCTGTCAATCTTGGACCACCCTGACCTGGGTCCTAGACAATTGTTTTGGGTAATTAACACAGTCAGTCTGCCAGCATGTGCGTAGTAGCAGGTTTGTGTTGCATATGTAGCGATTCCGGAACATTCGTATTGAAATGAGCGATAGATAGAAAGTAGACGGGAATGGAATAGGCTTTTATCGTTGTTTTGCTCTTTGTATTTTAATTCTGTCGTGTGATATAGTTTCCAGTATATCAGATTTGACTGCTTTTTGTTGTCTCCGTTCAAACTTTGCCACGTTTTAGTACGTGTTTTCCTCTTCTGGTCTGGCCGCCGTATAGGTGAGTCGTTTTCGTTGTTCTGTAATTTATCTGTTTAAATGCGTACGCTTCTGCTTGAAAATGACGTTTTCTGGTTGAGTCATTATACCATCGAGTGGCAGCACACGGAATCTTTTGTGAGTTTCAGGATTTGGCGAGATCGCTTATTCGTGAAACCGCAGCGTTTGATTCCGACGGGAATCGCAATAGGATTGAATGAACTTTTATATTAATTCGACTGTGAGAAAAGTTCGAAGGGGCTCGCCCGATTTCGTATGTATGGATGGTATGAATTTCAACTGCGCTTTCTGTAAATTTTAAAATTATTTTCCGAATGTACAGCTCTCCGATGAGGCTTAAAGTTTTTTGTTAGCCATAAATGGATGTTTTCCCTGTCATCTACGTCCTTGCTCATAACTGTAGCAGTGGCCAATGAGCAATTACCTAATGAAGCAACAACTTGAAGCCGATCAGACATTTTTTCACTAAGTCAGGTTTTTAGCTCATTAGTAGTGGTTATATTTCAAAAATGTAGGTTTATATCGAGTGACGTACCGGTCATTTTGTCACTGGGAGAGTTAGTTCAATCGAAAATACGACATCAAAACGCTGGGGAAGAGTTGACTAAAATGAACTGTCGGTACTTTTGGTTGCCAAGTGGTTGAATAGCATGAACGGACTAGTCGTTTTTTAAATGTGAACCAGTTCGTGAGTTGTACTTGTAACGCGCGTCAGAACACCCACAAAAGAACAAACGTAATAATGTATTGTTAAAGAATAAAAAAAATTTCCTGAGATCAAAGGTCGGAGAACACACGCATATGTGTGTGGATGAACACGTCATCAAAATCCGATTTCGCAACAACGCATCCCTGCTCTCTGCTTTCGTCAGACAGGGAGTTTGTAGCATGGTATTCAGGTTATATTTATGTTATATATTTGACTGAAACAACGATGAAGGTTGTTAAGCAGGTGCACTTGAACACAGCTAATCATGTTTTCATGAGTTTTTCTCGGTCAGTCGGTGGGTAAGCTACAAATGGAACGCGCGCTTCCAGCATTGCGTGTACCATATCAGTATTCGAAAAAGTTGGCTCCTTTAATGTAAATGCAAGGGTCCTATTCGTGCTGCTCAAAGACGCGAAGGAATCCAGGTTAGTAGACTATTATCGACTTCTCATACACTGTGATAAGTTTACTACCCAATCGCAGGCTCGCTAATCATTAGAAATTCAATCCATCTCACTACTGATCACTCTGCCTGAACTGTTTGAATTTCGCAAGTACTAGTAATTACGTCCTGTGGTATTGCTGAATTTGTACCGTGCTTCTATAAGGGGGTTAGGCGGATGCATGTCGATGATAGCTTTCCATCAGGTCTATGCATTAAAAACTCCTGGTATGAAATGCTCATTGAGTTAGGCGGATACATGTCGGTGATAGATTTCCACCAAGTCTATGCATTTAAAACTCCTGGTATGAAATGCTCATTGAGTTAGGCGGATACGGTGACAGCACATTTGAACCTACGTACATTTGAACCCGTACATCTGAACCCGTAATTTGAACCCAGGACAATTGCACCTGTATACTATTGCACCTATGGACATTTGCACCTACGGACATTTGAACCCATACATTTCCACCCATAGATTTTAGCACCCGCATATAGATTGAACCCGCGGACATTTGAACCCATGTACATTTGCACCCGCGGACATTTGAACCCATGCACATTTGAACCCACGAACATTTGCACCCGCGGACATTTGAACCCATGTATATTTGCACCCACAGACATTTGAACCCGTGTACATTTGAACCCACGAACATTTGAACCCTGGACATTTGCACCTGCGGACATTTGAACCCATGTACAATTGCACCCATGGACATTTGAATCCCTTATCCTTCCATGCTATATACTATAGTATATAGGATTGGAAGGTACACTTAGGATTCTTTCTCCAAATGCATACGTTGCGAAAACAATCAATATTACATTGGAATTCTCGATTATATACTCGAAGGCTTTATTACAACTATTTTTTATATATATTTAAATTATATTATATATTTATATTATACTCCGTCTGTCATTGTCATCGCAATTGTCGATATCATAAGACTCAATGGACAAAATGTTCCGCTGTAGAAAGCGAGCCAAAATTGGGGAGTATGATTTGTGCTTTGAACGGTCGACGACTCTTGAAGAGCGCGAGCAAGGATTTTAATTGATGTGTTAGTTCGATCCCGCGCAAAGTTATTCCTCGCATCAATGCCCTTTTTCCCTCGCAGATAGTTCGATCCCGCGCAAAGTTTTCCTCGCATCAATGCCCTTTTCCCCTCGCAGACAAACTGTTTCTTCAGGACGTTGCAGCTGCGAAGATGACAAGTCCCTTTGCGAAAATAAGTTGAAAACAAGGCGCCTACATTTTCCAAGACCACACGAGGAAACGACTTACTGATTTACAAAGGCCACGAATATTGTAAGCAAAATGATCGGGTTTCAGATGCTACTCATTGGCGCTGCCGTCAGTTTAGGAAATTTCGATGTAAATCGACTGTTGTTACGATCGGTGAAAATGTAATAAAAGAACTAGGATATCACAGTCATTTTGGCGACAGCATTAAGACTGAAGTTGGGATCATCCGTGCAACATTAAATGAAGCAGCATCAACACCATCAAATACATCGACAAGATATATTTTAGGTGAAGTATTGAATAATAGATCAACAGATGTACTAATGCGCTTGTCAGGCAAGTCGACTCTGGAGGCTAATATACGCAGAGTAAGGCGACAGAAAAATTGTTACCACAGTGCTGGGCGGGATATCATAGTAAGCGTTTTCGGTGCAATAATTTCAGAACAAATAGGAGTTGACCACTAAAAATATTACTGTAAAGCTAGTTTTAGTAAAACCCTCATTTAAGACTTCATTGGTCTGTGAGATATTTGTTCCGTATTAGCCCTGGTTTCAGGTATTTCAACGAAATACCGCTTTCTAGGTCACCGTCTGTTTTGGAGATCGCGGCTAACGAATGAGATAAGGATTTACAAATGTCAATGTAAAAAAAACAGCAAAAGAAAAAAGACCTTGGCAGAACAATGTTGTTTATATCGTTAAGAGACGTTTATCCCTCGGACTACAATGACACTCAATAATGCTTGCTTCGTAGAAGCTGGTAAATGCATATACACCAAAACTAACTACAAGTGAAACAGTGTTTAAATTTAGAACATTGAGCTTGCGCCTGTAACATGAAAAATATTTGCGACTGGAAATTGCCGTTGGGGCAAACATTTTTTTGTGAAAATGTACGCGAGTTCAAATGTACGCAGGTTCAAATGTACGCGGGTTCAAATATAATACACCTTGGTTCAAATATACGCGGGTTCAAATGTCCGTGGGTTCAAATGTACGCGGGTTCAAATATACGTGGGTTCAAATGTCTGTGGGTGGAAATATACATGGGTTCAAATGTCCGAGGGTGCAAATGTTCGTGGGTTCAAATGTACATGGGTTCAAATGTACGCGGGTGCAAACGTACACGGGTTCAAATGTCCGCGGGTGCAAATGTACATGGGTTCAAACGTACGCGGGTGCAAACGTACACGGGTTCAAATGTCCGCGGGTTCAATCTATATGCGGGTGCTAAAATCCATGGGTGGAAATGTATGGGTTCAAATGTCCGTAGGTGCAAATGTCCATAGGTGCAATAGTATACAGGTGCAATTGTTCTGGGTTCAAATTACGGGTTCAAATGTACGAGGGTTCAAAGATAATGGAACCGGCGGATACATGTCGGTGATAGATTTCCACCAAGTCTATGCATTTAAAACTCCTGGTATGAAATGCTCGTTAACGTGCTATATATGCAGTTTGAATTATGATAAAGGCCGTATTATTGGTTTTACTCTCGGATGAATTTAAAAAAAGGTATTGACGAAGTTGCATTACATGATAGGATAAATTTCATATGGCGTACCGCGGTCTCTCGTTTGATTACCAGTCCATGTCGGGTATGCTATTAGTAAGCCTGGTATTTCTTTCAGATGCATGGACTTGATAATTGTAACAATCTTTTATATGTTTCTCAGACACTCGTGAAAATACAGAACTCGCCGTCTTACGACCTAATTGTATCTTGAGCTGAATCAAGTTTATGCAGATGATGTCGTCAACTACTTCAACTTTCAAAGGTAATTGTTGCGTAATAGTCGCTCACGCTATCTGTTTCGTCGAATAAATTGCCAAATAGCCGAGATGAATGAATATTTTACAAATCTTAAATTGTTTTATTTTGATTTACAAATAACGAATTTCCTAATATGTGATTGGAAGACTGCGACAATATCAACCGACCAAGGTGAGATAACAGCAATAAGTATTTATGGAAAACTGCGTGAAATAATCGTTCATTTAAAGCGTTGTGAAGTTCTCAAAATGGGAATAATTTTAGGAGATGTTGAAGTGTCAAATAAAATAACTCTTTGGCTATTGTGCTTAATGGCATTGCTCGCATTTTCTATTCAAAGCATGAACAGGATCCCACTTCCTATTCACTAGACTTTGTTTTTTGTTTTTAAATAATTCACGGCGAGATTTCCCACTCGAATTATTTTACATTTCCGAATAAAGTACTAATGTTTTTCCATGTGTTTTTTTTTTTTTCAGGCCAACATGAAACCTACTGAAAGTTTAGTTTACCGTAGTTAGTTGTGCGAACAGTTCGTATTTGATGTGTAGAGTCAGGGCGAAGATTGAAGATAGGACCCTATGCTTTGCTAGAGGATTTCTCACTTGTACGGTACTAGAATCCGTCTGTCTATTTATAAGTTAGTCAGCCAGTAATAGCTAGATAGGGTTCGACAGACGAATCTAGCTAGGTGTTTAGGTCATTTAGATTGTTGAATAGGGAACAAACAACCCAGTCCAGCAGTGAATATGATTTTTTTCTATTGATAATCTGCTCTTTATGAACAGGGTGCATTACAGTATAAATCGCTGATTGTGCGATTATCCAGCCTCAGATTTTTTCACTATGAGGAATATGCTTTAAGTCTGCTGAATTAAGTGGATCACCCGTATGGAGCATTCATTATTAACTTGATACTGAAGTGCAGCTTTTTGTATTCACTGTGTTTGGGTAAGACTTTAAGCTTTTCCTCTTGCATGTTAGACCATAGTACTGGCTGAGTGCTCCCAAATCGAGAGACAGAAGCAGACGAAAGACATCGGAAGGTACATTAATTAGATCCGAATTCTAAAGCGTTGAACCGTAGATTTAGATTAGTGTATTATGATTTATTTGGTTAACTTCAAGCCATTATTGTGCTTTGAGAGGCAAAGTCTTGGTTCCTTTAATAATGACGCGGGATTAGTTTTATTGAATCCCGAGTCGATGTTGCCAAGCCCGGTAGCACTATGCTACTGGTAAGATAGACAGACTAGGTGTGAATCGTAGTTGTTGACTTGGCATTGGAGTGCACATATAATATAATTTGCATTCGAATCCCTGAATTTTTAAATTTGTAACGATTAGGCTAGCTGGCAACAAAGAAAAGTCCTCTACATTGCCCTGTAGTTGCCTTAGGTATGCTGAAATTAGGCCGTTCAGCTTTGGGCTTTTTATAACCAGTTTAGTCCGGCACTTATAAACGGACTCAAGACTGCAATATTTGAGTTGGGGTTTATAATGCAGGGGGAGAAAACGTCCGCGCTTCTATCTAGATCGGTGCTCTTCAACAGGGGTTCCGCAACACATGCAGTGGGGTTCCGTGAGTTTATAGGGTTCCTTAGGGGTTCCGCGTAAAGGAAAAATTGACTGCTGGGCAAGTAAAAAAATGATTATTCTTCTTTTCCGTTTTTTGATGAATTTCCAAATGCTCAACAGCAAGAAGGACTCTTAGATATCCGTAATGATATTAATTGGGAGAAAACCTTCAAAAAACATGGTATGGAATATTTTTGGATTTCTCTTTACAAAGATGGTATTGCAAAGGGCAGCCGTTGCAAAAGAAGCATTAAAACTTCTGTGTCAACTTCCCAGTACCTATTTGTGTAAATCAGCATTTTCTGCTTTAATAACTAATAAAAACAAAAAAGAAGTTTTTAAAGAGTGTAGACATGTGTATGAAAATTGCTTTGAGCGAGTGGAGCCACGATTCAAGTAGATTGCAAAGGAAATGCAAGATCAACCTAGTCATTGGTTACCTTCTTTCTGTTTCGTTGTTGAAGTAGAAATATTTGAAATACGAATATTTCGTGTTTTATTTTTGCTAGTTGGGGTTCCATGAAAAATGATATAAGGGGTTCCGCAATAACAAGAAGGTTGAAGAGCACTGATCTAGATAGCCTAACCCCCTCCTTCGCTTCGAAATCTTCGCTCATTGAAACAAGAGAGCTACGCACAAATATATGGACACGTTAGACCAGAGCGAATCAGTCCTTACCGGTACCTTTGACGCTACCGGTACCCTAAAAAAAGTTCTGAATTTCCAGTAGCAAGAACTTTGCAGAATCAAAACGTACAGCCAGTCATGACACTGACTAAAATCCGTGTTCCCATGGATAAAAAATAATACAGCAAAATTTTAGACGAAATATCAAATTTCATAGAATTCACGCAAAATGTTGAAATAAATAAAAGTAATAGCCTTCTGGAGAAAAATTTTATCTTCAACCACTGAAAATTTCAAAGCAATTGGTCCAGTATTCGAAGAGAAAAGCGTCTTTTTAAAAACGTGTCAATAAACAACAACAACATAATATTGAAACGATCGTTATGGCCACTAAACGTGTCCAATAATAGACCAGTTCGGCGTTAAAATAAATTTAGTTAAACTAGGGATAAAAACTTTCTATCGCTGGGTGTTCAGATTGGTGGTTGGGGCGGCCGAATAGTTACGGCTGGATGGGGATAAGAGTAAAAAGTAGTTATCACTCGCACTGTTGTCTTTTCTTGTGACTTCTAGTTGGGTTTGATAATCTACTTTTTCACGGTGATATGAATGCAGTAGGAATAAATGATATAACGGTTTTCAGTCACCTTGTCCGGGAATCAGAGCTCTTTCATTTGACTTCTAGACTATATTTTTTTATTTTTTTTTTTACAATTTTTCTTTTATTTTCGTGGGTAATTGTCTTCACGGCAAAAAACATTTTTATACATTTCAATGTCGTGCAATAATATGTAAGACATTTAGATATCAACCCTTTTCTACATACTCATTTGCTTTATTGGAAAAATCCATTGTTTTCCGCTGTTTATTATGTTTGTGATAAAAACCATGTCGTCCGTTCATATGCAAGACATTTACATGCAGTTCCGTGCAAAATAATGAACGGCAATTTTTGTATATATATTACAATTTTGCTATTTTTTCCCCCTGTTTAGCTTTCCCGGTATTTTGTGGCAAGTTTGCTTGTTTATAGATAATCACTTAATCAACTAACACTGTTTTCATATTTTTAGATATCATTCAAAGAAGAATAACATTATTTACTTTCAAGTTTTTGCCGAAGCATGATTTAATTCGACTAATCCAGCTTAATTGTCAAGGCAACATCATTTGGCTAAACAGAACGTGTTCAAAAATATGAAATGGCCATGGTTCGATAATGCAAATATATTGGTCCGACCGGCAAAATTGGCCTACAAAAAGCATCCAATTCATCCAACTGGTTTGAACTACAAATAAATTGAGCCAACCAAAAATATTAAAAATAATTTTTAATAAAGTGGAATGACTGGGACTAATATAAAAGTTTCGGAATTTGATATGACTGATTCAAATTAACGTATATTGGCCTAAAAGTAATGAATTAGTCCATTAATTCAATTTTAACAAGATGTTTCCAACAATGTGAAATGACTGGTTCAAATAGCAATACAATTTGGCTTAACAATGTGAAATTATTGGTTTAAATTAGCGCTACAATTTGGCTTAACAGTGTGAAAGGACTGGTTTAAATTATCACCACGATTTGGCTTAACAATTTTACAACTATGTGATATGACTGGTTCAAATTATCACTACGATTGTGCTTAACAAGAAGTTTACAACAATGTGAAACGACTGGTTCAAATAAACGCTACGATTTCGCTTAACAAAAAATGTTTAACAATCTGTAGTGACTGGTTTGAATTGGGGCTACAATTTAGCTTAACAAGTAAAGTGTAACAATGTGGAATGACTGGTTTAAATAAGCGCTACAATTTGGCTTAACAAGAAGTTTCCAATAATTAGGGATACCATCTTTTTGTGACTTCAAATCGGGACGCCTCAAAAGACAACGACCCCTTAGCTGTGATTTTGTAGCTTCACATTTTCCGATTTTACTACATAGGCCTACATTCCTACATTCAAAGCTGTCCCGGCTGTCTTTATTGACCATATTGTTATCGAAATTTCATGCGCATATTCACTGTCCAAATATCGGGTTCAGTTCGAAAAATAGGAAGGAATTAACGATAACGATACCGGTACAAATAATTCAAATTTAGACTAATTAGTATTGGTTTTACATGCGATACGTCTGCCATCAATGGGAATCAGCGGGAAACGAACGCATTCACCTTCAGTAAGCAGGCTAGCGCTGCGCTAAACAGAAACAGTAACGAGAACATGTTTGTGTATTATGCTGGAAAAGCGGGACTTTTGGCTGACTTATCGGGACGGCGGGACAAAAGGCTGAAAAGCGAGACTGTCCCGCCTAAAGCGGGACGTATGGTAAGCCTACAAATAATGTGAATTGACTGGTTTTAGTTAGCACTACAATTTGGCACTTTCAATAATGTGAATTGACTGGTTTTAGTTAGCACTACAAAAAACGTACAAGTACGTGCCCGTCCACCGAATACAGTCAAAAGAAAACAAAAACACGATGTAAAATCGGGCAATACCTTTTAATCAATTTTAAAATGTGAATTGACTGCTTTAAATTAGCGCTACGGTTTAGCTTAACAAGAAGTTTCTAATAATGTGAAATGACTAGTTTAAATTAAATTGAGTTTTGAATTGATCATCGGTCGAAAAACTGTCTAAGTCAGGTTTGCGATGCAGTTATTCGTGAATGAGTTCGAACTGATTGGTCAATTCGACGACGAATGGAGATTTTGACATGAAACAGCAATAACCAAACATGTATTTTGAATCCACCTCTTGTCCAACGTGTGATCATTAACAAGAAGAATAGCATGCTCTTTTCAATAGAAGGTGATATGGCGCACTATGTAATAGAAACAATCGACGTCAATAACTATAAATATTATTCAGGGTTGAAAGACTAGCTAGCAAATAAAAAACTATCAACGCTCCAATCGTTGGTCTATTCTAACATAAGATAATCCATCACAGATATTACGATTGAAAGTCAGAATGAAACCAATTTCAAGCGTATAATGAGGCCGGATAATAAAGGAAAGAACGGAATAAACGAAATTGATGGTATTTACTTTATCGGAATTTCACAATACCAGGTGGTGAAATGTTTTATAACTAAATTGCGTATTGGTATTATTCCAGGGAATTCTAGTTTTGTCGTTTGACCATTATACTTCTGATATCAATCATTAGTTTTGATGAAAATATTTTTGAAATTATTTCCTAATGTACCTCTTCCGAATAAAATTTAAACGAATTATCGAAATGCAAATATTTATTTTTTATTATTATTGTCTTCCAAGAATCAAATAGTTGGGCAATTGTTTAATTTATGTTAGATTATTTATTTTAGTGTAGGAATCCAGATATTTTACATCTGATATTTAAAGGACGGTATATCGCTTGGACATTCGGCTGTGCTTCAATTTTACCTTATATCATCAGTAGAATTAAACTTACGGGACTCAGCCAATAAAGTGGTAATTATGTGTGCTACGAAGTTATTTTCAATTTTACAGATAACAAGAACATCAGCAAAGGTAAGGGTCAACATACCTGTTTATAAACATAAAAATAGATATATAACCACGGACACTTTAGTCCGCGACAGAGCCCCTTTCTTGTTCAGAATGAAACTCGACAAGTTTCATTCTAAAAAAAACTCCTTGCTCTAAATGTGAAACAGATATGAAAACTGCACTAATTTAAATTCAAAAGACCTTAAATATCCAATTTTCAAAAATGTGTGTACCCCACCCCCTACAAACTAGAGGCATATTTACCAGGGAAGTTCTAACATGGCATCGTAAGTGACAGAAAACCGAAGCTATCACGAATGAAATAAACACTGTAACACGGAAAATTCAATCACAGTCGCTATCTCTCTAGTTTGTTAAGTCGCCTTCAAACGCAGATAGTCTTTCTTCTGTATCCACATGTTTGTCATCTCATCAATTGGGGGGAAATGTTCCTTCCTAATCAGACGTACGAGGGGAATCGTTTTTCAAATGCTAAGCACTATAAGACAGCCCATGAGTATTTCGCCAATCAATCTTAATATCAATTTCAACGACGGCAAAATTTACAGGACAAACCATCTCAATTTCGCCTGGTGGTCTCAACCATATTTTATGTATGTTTAACACAATTCTGTTAGTTTTCGCGGTGCCTTCGGCAATTCGCCACGGCGAATTCATTGGGAACAGCTACATTACACCGTTCTTCTTTATTAATTTTATCCTTTCATTTTTTGCTGTTCCGCGAGGCGAGATAAAAAGTGTAAGTGTTCCGTGGCCGAAAAAGTTCGGGAAATGCTGCAATAGACCAAGCTATTTTGGCATCACTAGTTTTTTCCAAGAATTCCAGTTATGTAGCCTTAACCCAAAACTTTTCTGGACAATTTTGACAGTTCAAGTCTAGCATCAATCGGTAGCTACTAACGGGTAAATTTATTTTATGCTGTGATCCTTTATTGTCTCCGCAGCTCGTGGCATTTCTGTGGCCGCTCGGACCTAATTCTTCTCCATATCTAAGTGCGCGCGACCTTGTTTTAGAGTAATTTTTCAATATACACCTCATTGGGCCATCTTATTAGCCTTCGTTTAGTTTAGAATAAATAAATATGAAAAATACTTGTCGTCATTACCGTTAATTTCACAGCGCCACCTGGTGCATATCGCATGAGGTCAAAAGTTCGACCCAACTTTTTGGCTGGATTGTTGATGTTGAGGCGCTGAACTGAAGTTCAGTTTTGGGTTGATACCTCGCTGTTTGTTGGGGGGTACTTTTCGTTTGAACCTTTTTGAAGAACTACAAGAATTCAAGATGAGGTGGCCTGGTAAAGGACCGGAGTTTCTGAGCGGCACGTTGAGGGATATCAAGCTGGATATTCCGTTTTTCAAAATTCCATTTGGCTGGGAAAAGCCTGAAAAGTTTTTTGTTAGCGATTTCGTGAAACGAAAGATGGGACCTAATCTGGTAGCTCGTCTTACATTTTTCAACAAGTACCACTTTGTGCCAGCTTACACCAGTGTTTTAAAATTTGGCATGCTGACATTGATTGTGCTTGTCAACATAAAGATGCTCCCACCAGTCCACAACTATAGGCTGAAAAAAGCCTATGAGAATCGTTACAAGAGACATTTGGAATACTTGTCAGAGAATAAAAACTATGAAAAGGCCCTACTTCAAGCATATAAGAAACTTGGACCGCAAGTCTAAACTTCTCTCTGTCAGTCTGTGGGGATTCTATGACTGTATGATGATTTATCTTTATATCTTATGTTTAAAATTTATTGACCGATTGATAGATGCTTCGAATAAATTCATTGGTTGTTTGAAGGTGAGCGTATGTTTAATATTTTGGGCCGGGGAATCGGTAGAGCACAGAACTTCCAAACAAAGAATAGGCCTATTTGAATACATTTTGGATCAAGAGAAGTAAACGCAGTACAGCAGTAACCGATCAAATCTGTAAATACAGAAATAGCACCAAACAATAATGTGATTTGGAAATAAATACCGGTACTGTAACTGCTTAAATATCGCCAAACAAAAATGTGATTGAAAATACAATCAGAGTCTATATTTTTTTCAAATTAAGTTCCGTCTAAATTCATTCTGTGCCAAACAGCCATTTTTCTGTTTTTGTAAAACATCGAAATTCACATCATTCTATTTGCTGTTATTTAAGCAGCTTAGGCACTGACTTTGTAGTCCCAACATTTCTGCATTCAGAATATATGATTGAAGTTGGTGTTGGTGTCATAGAAACCTCCATTCAAGATTTGTCACCGTCTCATTTCAAAAAATCAGTTTGTCTGGTTTAAATGCTAAGTTTGGCTTGCCTAGCAGTCCACTGGGCATGGCTTCATACATTGGGATACGGTCTTGGGTTCAAAGCACATGGTAAGCAGCGCTTCAAAGCAAAGTTGAGACATCCATGGTATAGCAGTTATCAGATATAAATTGTGGTACACAGTTCAGTATCTAAGAAAAGATTGAAAAGGTAGAAAGGTTACTTTTTTTCCTGTTTTATTCATCTTTAAATGGAAGTTAACTCGCAGTCTCTTATCACTGGAGATCATCGACTTTAATTCTAAAGGAGGCCGCTCAAAAAACTATTTTGGAAAAATGAAGAAAAGTTAGAAAACATATTTTTGATTTTGAACTCGTCTAACAGCTTTTGAAATGTTTTTGGTACTATTGCTTCAAGCTTTGATTAGAAAACCAGCTTAAAATTCTGAATTTGTGATTTTTCTTTTCATTTTTTTTTTGTATTTATGTTGTTTTTTAGCTCTGGCATTATTGTATTTTATATAATATTGGTGTCCAAAAGGTTTGCTTCAATGAAACTACCACAAAGTTATTGTAAAATGTTGTATTGTTTTTTAAAAATTCACCATTGTTGAATTGCAATCATATTTAAAGGTTAGGTAATTTTTGCGACATAGAATGGAGAATTTAATCAATTCTACCTGGCACTGTCGGAAAAAGAAACATGGGATTTCACAAATTGGGATTTCAATTGAAATTTGGTTGTCAATTAGAAAATGTCTGAATTCTTATAATTTAATTGTGTTTGTTTTTTATATTTCTTAGAAAATTTATACATATAAAACCATTTCAAAATGAGGATTTTATCTTTATACAAATCTCACTTCACCAAACTTGCTTCGAGACGTAACTTTCATCGAACTGCACCAGTTTTGAATCTTCTTATTGAAAAGCCTGAATTCTCGTGGCTCAAAGATCTCGGATTAGAATCTGACAATAAAGGTGTTTTTGATGGCCAGTGGAAAGCAGGAAGCGGACAGGTGGGTGGGTCATATCAGTTTTTTTGGTGCTCCCGAAGTATGCGAACCAAGATGGCGGACATCGGAACATAACATGGGTAACAGGTTAGGGTTAGGCGATAATTTTTTTCTAATTTTCCTTATTTTAGTCCTATTATCAGTTCGAAGACTAGCCAAAAGCCTCTCGTAGTATTTATGCCTAAAATTATGGCCTAACCCTAACCTAGTACACATATTACATTCCGATGTCCGCCATCTTGGTTCGCATACTTCGGGAGCCCCGTTTTTATATATATATATATATGATATATATATATATATATACAGGGTGTATGTTGTCCATAAAGTCCTGAAAAAATCTTAAAATTGCAGAGGGAATTTATTGATACCATATATTGTTTTGGCCTTCACAGACGTATTAAATGAAGTAAAAATACTTGAACAATTACTGAATAAAAAACAACCAACCTGGTTAAGATATATTCAGAACTGACTTCATAACAAAATTGTAAAGGGACTTTTTATGGACATTCTGTATATTGTGGAATAGAATTTTTGATGATATTATAAGCATTGCAGCATGAGGCAATACCACCTAAATGCAGGGGGAGAACTAACGTTTAAACACTTGTTTGAGGTAGATTTCATGCTATAGTACCTTCTTGAGGGGCAAGTTTCGCGCTATAGTAATTGCGTACCATACTATGTTTGAGGTGGGGTCACTCGATAGGCCATCTAATCTCAAACATTATTTTTGTAAATATTCTGTGTTCCCATCATGTTTCGACAATTAATAAGCCATTTCAGAAAACGAGAAAAACTGAGTTTGGGGTTCGTGGATCCAATATGTTTTATTATACCAATCCTTCTAAGAATTTCAGATTCATTCTATACACTGGTTATACGTTTGACTTTATACCTTTATTGCATAAGTGCACATATAAATGATAATAAAGGAAGATATTAGTTCCAAATGTTTATACAGACACACTCAACAGAGCAATGCCAGGTGTGTTTGTATAGACATTTTAAGTATTGGTAAATCTTATATTGTTTATATCATTTGCTTCGCTTATTACCAGTTGTGTAATAACTCAGTATTACTTAGTAGTTCCATGTTTTTTGATGTTAATAATAATAGCTTCAAAATGAAATGATTACCATGCACTCCACTGAAAATTGTAGGATTCTGTATGAGGTGGAAGTCCATCCAGATTTGAAAGCACTGATCTAGTCCAGAGCTTTCTCTGTAGCTAAGTGGGCTGTTCGATGGCAAACCAATTAAAGCAGTGGTTCTCAAATCTTTTCAGATTTTGTCAAGTCTTGCGTCACACCTCAAATATACTTAGCTAACAATAAGCTACAGATAACAGATATTAAGGCGAAAGTATGTTTTATTCAAAAACACATTGAAAATACGTGACTCTGAACAATAAAGAACTGTAAATGTCCAAATTAAAGCGGGCAAGATCAAATTTAACAAATATTTTTGATTAGCTTCACGTCTCCTCAAAAAATGTTTACGCTTCCCTTGCGCCCCACCATTTGAAAACCACTTGTTTGAAGTGTTAGATTTAACTATGTTTTGTGGCATATTACACACCACTTGTTCAATCAAATGGACAAATCCTCTGGACAAATTTAGAAATTCCTGATACTTCTTCTGCTAAAAGTAGTCAATTTTATTTTCTTCTCAATATTTCAGGTTGTTGAATCAATCTGTCCATCAAACAATGAACCAATAGCAAGGATATCAACAGTAAGTAATTGATGCTTATCTTATGTGAATTAAATACTTTCATTATAATTAATGTCCATTGGTATATATTGGTAATTCGATAAAGTGTTCATCCAGTGTGAAAACAGAGCTGTGGGTTTAGGCCTCAAGTGTATGTCTTGATAAAGCTTTTCTCCGTTTTGCTATTGCAGCTGTGCTCATGTGCAAATCTTACCAGTTTCAAATTTCTTGTAGAACACTCAAACACAAGTGCACCTTTATAATATTATTTGGGTGTTACTGATTTCACATGGTCTTGCTTTGAACAAATACAATCATGCCTTTGCTCAGAGATAAGTCTTCTTCATTTCATAGGAATACGCTTGCTATAACCCTGTACAGGTGGTTCATTTAACAACTGATTGATTACGGCTTCTCCACTATCAAGTCCATGCAAATGAAACAAATAACTGGCTTACTATTCTCGTACCAGTCATGGACTGGTATCTGGTAAAGACGCCGTGTTCGCTATATGATTAATCAAGCTGTCCCATCCCTTTCCTCTCCCCTTGGATAAATACAATAATTCTATCCTAATTCTGCTCAGGGCACCATATCAGACTACAACCAGGCTGTGAATAATGCAAAGGAAGCTTGGCAAGTCTGGTCTGAAGTCCCTGCACCACAGAGAGGAGAGATTGTTCGACAAATCGGACATGCTTTGAGAGAGAAACTTCAACTTCTTGGGAAATTAGAGGCTCTAGAGGTGAGGCAATCGTAATATTTTTATGGCATGTTTGCAAGCTTGAATATGAAGAATATGAATAAAATCTGTCTTGGATAGAGTTGGATTACATGTAGAATAATTTGTTTTTCACACCATCTGTATATTACAATAAATGTTACTCCCAAAGTCTGTGAACCAAGATGGCTGACACTGGAATGTGGTATGTATACCAGGTTAGGGTTAGGCCTTAATTTAAGGTACAAATACTACGGGAGTCACTTGGCTAGTCCCCGAACTCGTAATGGAACTGAAATGAGGAAAATTAGAATAAAATTATGGCCTGACCCCCAACCTGGCACACATACTATGTTCCGGTGTTCACATACTTTGGGAGTATCCACTTAATATATTGGACAATGCTAATTATTTATCTTCAATTTAGATGTACGAATTCAACTTAAACCTTTTACACTTATATTAGTTATCAAATTTAGAAAAAATTATACGAGTGGGATGGAAGGATAGATTTTATCACCAATGAAAATCTTACCATTATAAATGCATAAAACTGTCGAATGATTTGTAAAAATGTCAATTTTATTAAAGATAATTATCATTTCTAGGTTGGCAAAATTGCACTGGAAGGGGTCGGAGAGGTCCAAGAGTTCATTGATATCTGCGACTATGCTGTGGGATTGTCAAGAATGCTGCCTGGACAAGTGTTCCCCTCTGAAAGTAAGTGAGAAAGTGAACGTTATTTTTTATAGGGTCTGATTGGATTTCATTTAAATAGTGAGGAAAGGAAAGTTTATGAGATGGCTTATTTCTATGTATGGTAAACCAGTCCAGGTGTGGGATTAGTAAAAAATGCTGGATTTATATAGAATTGTGGTGTTGCATTGAAGTCCGAAGAAGAGTCCCGCAATCCCATTGCACATAATTATCTCCCACAAGATTCAAACCTGCTAACCCATGCAAGGTAATCAGAGGTGCTGTGGTGTTCCTATTGCTAGACACGATGCGCCACACTGCCGAGCCATGATGATATACAATACTGACTACTGGTATTTTCTACAGCTAAGAATTTTATATTTTTCACAGGACCAGGGCATGCACTGCTTGAGACGTGGAACCCAGTAGGTCTGGTTGGTGTGATCACAGCATTCAACTTTCCTATCGCTGTCTATGGCTGGAACGCGGCTATTGCACTTACATGTGGCAACAGTGTCTTATGGAAACCTGCTACAACTGTCAACCTTTCAACGATCGCTGTCAACAAGTGAGCTAACTTTTATTTACCTGTTTGATCTATCAGCTTATTCGTGTGTATGATTTTTTTTTATTAGAATTGATAGGGCATTTGCATATTCATCCCGGGCAAGAGAAAATCTGATAAATCGGCTTAATCATATGGCGAACCACGGCCTGTCATCCGGTTACCAGTTCATGTTAGGTATGGGATTAGTTAGGTATTTGTTTTCAGATGAATAGACTTGATGGTGGATAAAGCTGTAACCGAACAGTGCTCATGTGAACTACCTTACGGCAGCGAGGAGTCCCGCTATCCTTATGCTCATGATTATCCCTGTGGGATTCGAACCTGCTATTCACCCACACAGGGTAATAATCAGATGTGCGATGGCAAGCATACTCTGTCGCTTGGCATAATGCGCTACATCGCATTTTCACCTGTACCCCTTGCCATGTTATCACTGTATTCAAATTTGAAATACAGTAGCCAGTAGCAGTGTTAGACAGATGGTCGACGTATTTCTACTCATTGACTAGGATGACTTTGTTAACTCAGACTAGCATGTTCCGCAATCTCGTTTTTGAATACCATAACAATGTTCAATTGAAATAGGAGAAAATGTAAAGATTAGAAGAAAACTCACTTCATTGACATTTGACCTCAAAGTTCAGAGTTCACAGCACTTCCTCTTTTTTTACAGAATCATGGTGGATGTCTTGGAATCAAATAATCTTCCTCCAGCTGTCTGTTCTTTAGTGTGCGGGGGAGCAGATGTTGGTGAAGCACTGGCAAATGATAGCAGAGTGGATCTTGTGTCTTTCACAGGTACATTAGACTTTCTTGTAGGACAGGATTTAATATTTATCCCAGAGGTCGGGGAGTGGAAGACGATAAGACAGCTTTATCATTACTGTGCATGTCAGGTAGGGGATTAAGTTTTTAATTCAGATGCATTGATTTGATGATTGAGGAAGCTGTATCTGCCCAGCAGTAACGTGAACCACCCTATGGTGGTGACGGTGAGGGGTTCAGCAATCCTCTCACATGATTAATCCTGTATGGGATTTCAACCTGCGAACCACGCCGGGTAACTGTAGGTGCCGTCGCGAGCGTATTCCTAACGGTAGCAGGTTGTGCCACACAACCGAGCCGTTTTATAATGTATGTTTTATAATGATTAAAAATCAGTATAAGTCCATTTCGACTCTGTAATCAACATAGCAGATGGGTTCAGTCACTCTTAAGTGCATGACCTTACATTGAGCAGATCCCTTTGGAAAAATACGAATTGTGGAATGAAATATAGAATTAGGATTTCATACTAGCGTATGTTTATAAAGTGTATTGATGCTTGAAGCAAAATAAAAATTTAATTTTTGTTTTACAGGCAGTACACCAGTGGGTAGAAAAGTTGGCACAACAGTTCAAAATCGTTTTGGAAGAAAAATCTTGGAGTTGGGTGGAAATAATGCTGTTATAGGTAAGCTTACTGGAATAGTTTGCAGTTTTTAGGTTTCTATAAAAGATGTCCCATTCATGAAGTATGTTGCAATTTGTCAATTGGTGATTGGTCTGACTGCATGGTGACCGTACATTTGAACCCATGTACATTTGAACCCATGCGTATATCCACGGGTTCAATCTATATGCGGGTGCTAAAACCCATGGGTTAGGGTTAGTATGGGTTTAACTATCCGTGAAACAAAAAAATTCCATACGTGCAATAGCATACAGGTGCAATTGTCATGGGTTCAAATGTAATGGAACCGACTGCATAGAATTGGTAGTGAAGGAGGTAACAATCAAAACAAGCCTACACCATACTGGACAGTGAGTTTAGCAATCCTCTGCCACCCCTGCAAACCCTATTTCTATAATGTAGGGTATTCAGCAGCGTGGAATACTAGCATGGTTAGCATATTTATTAGCTGAGCTAATTTTTTTCTATTCCTTGTCCTCTCTGTATTCCACGGGCCACCGCACTATTTGCCTCAAAATTTTGCTGACTGGAAATAGCAGCACTCCGCACATCACAAGTTTTTTGGCATTTTCAGTCAAGCCACGTCTTGTATAAATTGTATGTGGCGCCATGTTCTTTTATTAGGCTTTGTTTATTGTTTCTTTCAGTAATGGATGATGCAGACCTAGATCTTGTTGTCGTGGGAACGTTATTCGGAAGCGTTGGGACACAGGGTCAGCGATGCACGACCACTCGAAGATTGATTGTTCACGAGAAAGTTTACGACCAAGTTTTAGAAAGGTTGAAGAAAGCGTATAAACAAGTTCGAATTGGAGATCCATTGGAAGGTTAGTGCTGCCGTTTCCCCACCTTGTGATTCTAACAGCACTTCTCGATACTTATTTTATGTTTGTCTCCACCTATCTGACTTGTTTTTGTCATGCTTTGAATCAATATCAGCCGTCCTGCACATACTGTCTGTATACACAATGCTTTTATTCGCGCATATAAAAAATGAAATTGAAATATTTTTGTTTTTGAGACTAAAATTCCTTCTCAACCACTAGGCTACTTCCAGTAGTTGAAGATGGGAGTGATTAATTTAGGACTATTGCTTTTCGATTTTTTCTCTATATTTGAATCCGAAATTTTGTTGATATTAGTGAATTCAGCTACCACAGGCTTTTCTTTTTAATACTCTGTTTTTTTAATCTGTGCTTTACGAATGCCAACTGCATGTTTATCATTGATATTCATGGTCTTGTTTTATCCAACCATCAATGTATGGTGGACCAACAATCAAAATCACTAAAACAAATTCAAACAAAAATCAGCCTTCGAGCAATTATCCAATAGTTCAAGTTGGCGCTCAGGAAGTATTCGTACCAAGATGACGCACAACCTGAATTCTAACCTGTACACATACTATGTTCAGGTTGACCACCATCTTGGTACACATAATTGGGGAGCAAGTCCAAGTCTATGTATTTGAAAAAAATCAACTGGTAAACTATTCCCATAGATGACTGTGACCAGATGAGAGTGCGTGGTTCACTATATGATTAAGCCGAGTTATCAATCCTCCCACCCGGGATAAATGTTACAATCCTATCCTGATTATGCAATGTCAAACTTGCAGCATTGGAAACGTTTTTTTTATATTCAGATGGAATCCTTTATGGACCAATGCATTCAAAAGCTGGCGTTGATCTTTATAAAAAAACAGTCGCTGAGGCCAGAGCACTCGGTGGCACTGTTGAGGTGGGAGGTGAGGTCATCGACAGACCAGGAAACTATGTCGAGCCCACAATTGTTACAGGACTTGCTCATGACAGCCCTCTAGTGCTGAGAGAATCATTTGTACCCGTACTCTTCGTGTTAAAATTGAAGGGAGGCATTGATGAAGCTATTCAATGGAATAATGAAGTTGAACAAGGTCTATCAAGCGCAATCTTTACTAAGAACTTGAGCGACGTTTTCAAATGGATGGGGTATGGTTCTTATATATGTCCTAGTTGTTAGAAATACTTGCCACCACAGTTACGATTGCCCATCTTAGGTTCTAATTATCTACAAGTGGATTGTGCTGATTACCTCATCGTCACAACATGTCCTTGTTGTTGTTGCTGGTCAGTTATTACTTCCTCCACCACCTTAGTCATCTGTACATCTGAAACAATTACCTGATTACCAGTAATTATTCTCTTACCTGACCAGATGGGAGGTTTGCCATTCGATTGAGCCATTTTGTCAGCTTTCCACTACCTTGGGCATGAATTTGAAAATCCTGTCTCTCCTGACAAGCATTTCTGCTTCATATTACTCACATCGTTTATATCCAATCTTGAAGAAGCATGGTCTTGTGCCTGCACCAATAGCAATGCAGGTGTGAAACACCTCTTGAAAAATCTAAAATTCTGTAGCAAGTCTAAAATATATATGATGTTATTCAAAGAATCTACTGAAAAAAGTCTTCTTATAAAGGTTAGAGTTTGATTTAGACTTGGTGGAATATTCCACGGAGACTTTTTCAGGACTGGAATAAACATGAAAACATGCCTCTACATTAGTATAAAATCTACCCTAAGTATACAAGAACGATAAAAATATATTTAGTTGTTCAATTGTTTTGTATTTCTCAGACCAAAAGGATCTGACTGTGGTCTTGTGAATGTTAATATCGGTACAAGCGGAGCAGAGATTGGAGGTGCGTTCGGAGGTGAGAAGGCCACAGGAGGAGGCAGAGAGTCAGGATCAGAGGCATGGAAGCAATACATGAAAAGATCGACATGGTAAGTATTTTTGTGTAATACGTGAGGCTCAAAAGTACGTATGAACTTTGTTTTCTTGTGGATCTACTCTGCGCCTAGCATTGTAACCCCTCCAACCGCCAGGTTGGGTACCGCTGCCTTAGAGGCTATATTATATTTTAACTATAATCAAATACTATTGCCAATGTTATTAAATTACACTTTAAAGATCATTTTGATTTGTCAGTATTGAGTTTGCTTTTGTTTATATTTATAGTTAATTCAGTTTAGTTAGACAATAAAGGGGCAATTTAACTGTTGCGACTTAAAAAAGGTTGAAAACCACTTATCAAAACTTTATCCAATGTTTATCAGCACCATCAACTACAGTAAAGACCTTCCTCTTGCACAAGGAATTAAGTTTGAATAAGCGATCGGAGCAGTGGAGATATCTATGCAGATCTTGCCTGAATCCTGCTTGAAAAATATTAATAACTTGTTTAAATCGTGTTTAGAGTATGTGTGGGCTTTCACAAAATAGTAGTTTTTGTTGTGAGTCTGAAGTGGAATTGTACAGGTGTGTGTTGGTTACTTTTTTTCATCCTGAAAGCAACAAATTTGAATAACTTGTGGGTGCAATTTTCCGATTGAAGTGTTGAACTCCGCCATCTTGGCATTATAGGTTGGAAAACTTGGCTTTAAATTTCATGCCTACTATCTCACCTAGAGTATAATGAATTCGGTAGGCAATGTTGAATTAAAATTTTTTTAATCTTTTCAAAATATAGCAGCTCTTTTCCTATACATTTCTACTTGTTTGGAGTGGAAAACATTTTATAAAAAAAAACATTGAACTAAATTTGGATCTTAATAAGAATTACTTGAAATAAAAAAAACTTCATTGCTTCATTTGCATCTGTAACCCATAATTTTCAGTAACTCGACAAAAAACTAAGCCAAAAAGATTTATTAGTTACTAATGGTGTCACATTTTATGTTTTTTGGAAAATTACATTTTTGTAATAGTTTGGTTCCAACAGCCAAAACCAAAACAGGCACAAGGCATTACCTAAAATCAAAAGTAAAACAGGTACAGCCTTGAGACCAAAAAATGGCCCCTGGTCCATGTTTTTTCCAAATAACATATATAGTTTGACTTTATTATTATCTTCATGTTAGATATTCTTATGGGTGCCGCTGCTCAATAACAAATTTGTTTCCCGCGGCCCCTCAAACTAAAATGCTTTTTCATAGTTTATTGTAATTTGTATAGTTAGTGTGTTCTCAGTATGGTGATAAAAACATTACTGATTACTATATACAATTCTGAAAAATTAGACATATGCTACTTTGGTTTTAACGTGGCAGTGTACTGTCATGCATATTGGTTGTGCCTTTATTCCTTTACTTTGAATCAATGCTCTTCAAACATCAGTTGAACGCGAAAAAATACCTTCCTCAAATTCTTTACTGTTTTAAATTTCATTGTGCCTTGTCTTGCTTTATTCCCAAGGAATTCAATCCTCCACATTTGAAGCTTCAAGATCATTCTTTCCTTGTGCAATTCTGGTAACTTTCGGAATAGGAGGAAATTTTAAATGTATTGTGAGAGGGGTGCTTCAATTATAAAAGGGCGAAACTTGAGAAGGTGTATAGTTTTGATTTTTATCTCCTGTAACTTTTTATCGAAGTTCTTTGTGAATATTACCAGCTAAAAGAACATATTTATTTGGTGTAATTGTTCGAATAAAAAATTTTTTTAAATTTTAGCGTTTGCCCTTTTGTCTTTAAATTCTTAGTATGGCAAGCTACGGACTCTTGACTCCAGGACCCTACAATATCCTCTATATACACACTTTTTTGACACAAGCGGGAGTGTGAATTGTTTGGCTGAGTTATTGCTTTTTATCTAGTGCACCAATTACCTATCACTTTTTAGTATTTGAAAATAGAACTATTTCTTTGCTAGATTAGAAGTATTTGTGTATATTTTTTTCTTGCCGCATTGTTTCACACAGGGGCGATGAAAACTTTACTTTTGACTCTAATTCCCAGTCTTTCGGATCATAACACCAGGTTAAAGGAAATTTAACTCAGACCTTTAAGAAATGCATATTTGGTAACAAGAATCTTGGGCGTTTGTTAGCCTATTCAACTAAACTTTTTTGATTCGGAAATTCTGACTCTGTATTAAGTCTGAAATCCTTGCCTAAATTTTGAATCCGGCTACCACAATTGAAAGTCTGAAATCCAGACTTGTGACTGAAATGTCAACGCTGAGCCTATATTTTTACACTGACTACCACCATTAAAAGACTGAAATGCCGACTATGAACCAAATTTCCTTCGACTTAGAATCAACTTTTTTAGCCTCGGCATCTCCTTAAATTAGTTGTAATTTGCTGTTGGATGTAAATATTCCTTTCTTTACAGTGTAATCAGCAATGTAAAATGTATTGGCTTGTAATTTTTCTGCTTGTGTCTGTGTTAATCATGTTATATTTTGGTTGTTTGCGTTACTTGCTTATCATGGTTTATAGATATAGTTTATATTTTTGCTTGTATAGATGAAATATTATGTGCCAACATGGGTTTTGGTATCGCTGATTGGTGAACAGTCTAGATCGGGGGGGTGTGCAACATTTTTTGTTGGCGAGAGTGTCACAGGGGCGGACACCCGGGGGGGCGAAGGGGGGCGGTCGCCCCCCAATAATTTCGCAAAAAATTTCAATACATGTTGTTTCCGCCTTACAAAATTATCATTTCCGAAAAGTGCGATAGTCAAGCGCAATTAAACGGTCAATAGTTACCGATATTATAACTGTTTTCTTACAATAATGTGGACCAGAGAGACCTTCGGAGCACCTCACATTTTCGTGAAACATGCGCGCCCGCACGGGTAATACTCCGTCTTCAAACGCACCGCCGATCACGCGCCACGGTTTTGCACAACTAATTCATTTTTGTAAGTTTAATATGGTTTTCTCATTGTCAAAATCTTTCAATAGTGTTATTGTTGGCACTTGCGAGAGAAGTGAAAGAGGCAAACTGTATTTCATTACAACAATTAATTATTATCGCTAAAAAATTAACTAGATCTAAAGTTGTTATAAACAATTTTCACCGCTGGACGTATCTTTTCACGTTATGGATTTCGTGCAAGGCCAAGCATAATTTGCGGGCAAAGATCAAAGCATTTACTATGTCGAAACGCCTATTCGACTTTTCAGACCACAGAAACTATCTAAGAAAGATACCCCTGACCCCTTCTGAATTTTTTTGAAAACTGAAAAAGTCGTCATTAACTCGTGCCTTTTGCTAAAATCGCCGATTGTTTTCGTCATTGTGACCTATTATTTAGGTCGTAAACGCCTTTACGTTGGCGTTTATTCTCTCTAAATCACAAATTTTCCACAAATTTGTGACACGATGACTATGATAATTATTTTATTTTCGTACAAGCACGGACTTATGAACCCGGCGAGAATTCTAATAAGTATCCATAAGTTGAAAAGCGGCAATATAAAATACTAAAAATAAAACTGTAAATAATATAAGTTTTGTTGAGGCCCGCGACAGTCTAAAAACGCTTTTCTAGGCATCGAAAATCGCAAAATTTCGTGTGCCGTAGGCACAAATCATGTTTGCTTGACCTTTAAAAACATTTCGTCACTAAAATCGAAACACGGTCAATTGTGAGCGGGATTTGCCTTTTTATCCATTACTTTTAAATTAACGTCGAAAATTTTCGTGTTAACATTAAACAAAGCTGAGAACGCGACTTTCTCCCGGTTTGTGATGATATATAAGATAATTAAACTATATTCGATCAATTTTTGTATTTATTTATGTATTTTTATTGTACTGAAATAATAATCCTACTACGTGTGAATTGACAGAAAATTTACGGATTCTTCGAAAGGTTTTATCTTCAAAAATAATCGGAGTGACAACATTGCGATTGAGCGGAGCGGAGCCAGTGTTACAAGTACATCTCAAATTTATCGAATTCGCAAAATAGCAAAAATACGGATCAAAACAATATATAAACGGGCAGTTTACCACACATTTTCATGTCCGCGGATTACGTGGTGTTTTAGAGTGGCTCTTGTTTTGTCGACTCAACCGCAGTTTAAATTGAAGACAATTAAATTAATAAATCAAGACATTTTGAATATGCCCGCATCGGTCTTTGATTGATTACTTTGCACAAGTGAAAAATCATTTTTCGTTGAAAAAGTCGGCTCTTTTAACAAGTGGCGTAATCGCGGCGACTGTTCCGCGTGGATTTTGAGGCAGTGAATTTGTATTTTTGATTTACTACTAGTATACTTTATAATAATTATTTCATTGTATGTTTCATTGTATGAAGTAAAATTGTACTATGTGGGATTTTATATCAGATATCGAGATTTTTGTAACGGCGATAACGAGTTCGGAAGATTGCAAATATACGTATTAAAATTAAATACATGAGGCAGCTTATCTCATATTTTTATGTCCATATATCGCCGTGGTACTTAAGTTTAGTAATGTTTTTATTTTGAGGTAAGAAGTCGCAACCGCGAGTTAACGTTGCACACAATTAAATCAGTATATAAGGACATTTTAGAAACTCGTGGCTGTCATGGATTGAATATTCTACGCGACAGAAAAGTCATTATACGCTTAAATAGGCGGCTCTTTTAACGAGCGCGTAATCGCGGTGCTTGTTGCAGACGGCAATGGGAAGTTTCGATTTTGACCCCCCACCCACCTTTTTTATAAATCCTGGCTGCGCGCCTGAACTTGTGCCTGTTTATTTTCGTATTTAATTATAAATATAAACCCTGCAAAGTCATTGCGTGAATCCTGAATGTTATTTCGAGTTCAAATGATGATTTAATAAATCGGTAATACTAGTCAACTGATAATTCCATGGTAAAATTTAGGAATAAAATTCGCACAATAGCTTGTTACCTTGTTTTGCATTTATAATTTTACGAAACGGCGTTAGTGCGCTTCATGCGGAACTAGGAATTGAAACAATAACCTAATACGACTCCTCAAATTTGTTATTTTCTGTTTGTTAGCAAGAGCCGTGGGCTAATTCTCGCGGAATTCAAGAAATTGGTTCAGTGACGCGCAAGTTCCGTGTCTAAGCGAAGCATCCTAGGGACTCGATATATGAGTAGCAAAATGACATTCTAATACTTAGAGAATGACATCGACAGGTTATTGTTACGTGACGAAACCCGGAGCGATGTTTTTCGGTAGGCGATCCATGTTCGCCCCTGGTCGAGACATTTAGGATATAACCAACTTCAGACATCTACCTAGGTCCCACAATAACATTAGTTTTTCCATGCACACAACGAATAAAAAGGTTAGCGGCAACCAGAGCGCTACGGGAAAGGCGAGAGAAGAAAATGCGGCTATCGCAAAGCCTTCCATGAATAAAGGCACTGGCCAAACTGCGGCTAAAGATCTGATGAGTCGACAAAAGCAAAAATCATGTATTTTCGAGCGCCTTTTCAAATTTAGGCTTTACGGGTTTTTATGCTTTGCGGGGAAAAATCACCCTAATTGCTTGGCGGGCCGCCTGTACACTGCTAGTTTAGATCAGCTTTGTTTCTTTTCGTAAGGCACGGTCCAGCATGCTGTACCTTCGGTCTTTAGACTAAAAAATATTCCACAACAGGTTAAAATATGGCAACTGTTAAGTCTTGCGTCTGGTTGAGTCTTTTGAACTATTTCGTCATAATTCAAATTTGACCAATAGCATGAACCGGTACCTTAGTCCTGATTACGATATGCCCCGTAGTCTGTACCGGGGCGTACTTTCAAAAAGGGATTTAATACTAATGGATGGATTAATTGGATTTTACTGTCAAACTCAGAGAATTGGTTTACAGCATTGCATGTGACGATAGTGGGTGAGTTGTTATTAATATTATTGTTTTTATTTATCTACCGATCCTTTTCTTATCGTAGTATGACTCGATGTTAGACTCTTTTATGAGTGACGCTACTCGATGACCATTTACTGGTTTACCGCGTCTACCTTCATACTGATCTACAGCTTTCTTTTATTTTACCTAATTCTGTTTGTACATTTTGTATTTTCGGTATGTGAAAATAAACCACTGACTGATGATTATAATTTCATTTCAAAATTCGTGAACTTTATGGTGGTTCACGTAACCTCCGGTCGGTTACGGCTTCTGCCTTCCTCCAACATCAAGTTCCTGCATGTGATAACTGGCTAAATTATCCCATACCCGACTGGTAGCCGGACAAGAGGCAGTTTCACCATATGATTAAGCCTTCTTATCGACTTTGCTCTCCCCGGGATAAATATGTGAATCCTACCGTGCCGGCAAATTTTGCCTGAAGCAGGGCCACGCACGCTCAGAAATAAATCAATAGGCTCGGCAGTGTGGCGCATCGTACTAAGCGTTAGGATTGCACTCGCCACCGCACCTCTGATTATTACCCTGTGTGGGTTCGAATCGAATTCGAATTATGTGCAACAGGATTCCTGGACTGCTCGCCGCCGTAGGATGGTTCACATAACCAACCGCTTTTTTATGACGGTTACGGCTTCCTCTACCATCAAAGCCATGCATCTGAAAACAAATAACTGGCTAACTTATCACATACCAGCATGGATAGGTAACAGAACGAAGAGGTTGTGGTTCGCCATATGATTAAGCCGTTTCAACGCACTGCAGTTTTTTTCGAGACAGTGTATATTTTTTTCTAAAAATAGCGTTGAAATTGGCAGAAATATTCGCATTTTATTGTATTCCGTTTTAAATACTTGGTAATCATCATGTGTGTATACTGTATACGTGTATCATGTTTAGAAGTTGTATTTGTATTATTGGTGTTGTTTTTGTGCGGTATATTGCATTTGTTATCGTAAGACAGGCTATCGTTATCGTATGGTTCCTGACCGTATCGGCGCTGGAGACAACATTGGGTTCGCGTGCCTATTTATTACAAACGATTAACTTATACGCTAAATTGGGATTACCTATACACGTGTCTATATGTTCTCGGAGTAGCATTTACTATGGTTTAATAAGTAGCCTGGTCTAAAATATTCACTTTGATATAATTCAAAAATAGTTTTAGTGTTAGCTGTACGTCATTTTCATATTGAAATCGATATCAAATTCATACCGAGTCTTCTATTTTAGTTTGAATGTTTCTAATTTAACTTTTTGTTTCTGTTTAAATCCGGGGTGACGAACGTATTTGATATTGCAGGCCAATTTATCAGTTACCGATGAGTAAGCGGGCCGAACAACTTTTAAGCACACTACGATACCTGTTAAAATAAGAATATAGTCATTTTAACTGCTATTGAGATATAAAGTAAAATATCCTTAACTTTAATAATGAGTTTGGGTAGATAAATGAGACCAATACTACAAATAAAATAAATAGGAGTTACAAGTGACATATTCGAGCGGTGTAAAGTTCAACTATAATTAAATCTTTGTAAAGAAGGATTGTCATTCCCCGTTTGGTTTCCTATGATAAAAGGTGTGAACTTTCAGGGTGTTGACTATGAAGTAATACAGAATAACCAGTCTGAACGATGGTAAGGCAACCAGCTTGTTAAATATTGATGTATGCATTTTGAGGAAGTTGAGTTTGTAAGGCCCCGTTACTTCCTTAGTGGAGTCAGTGTAAGAATTTGACTAGCAAAAGTCCACTGTGATCAAGTTAAACTTTTTCGCCACTGATTCAGGTATGCTTTGGTAATACACTCACTGAATTTGAACAGTGTTTCAGATACTGACGCATTCGGCCATTATCTGGCCATCCAGTGGGCTTCAAAATGACGAGTATATAATTTATTCATCTTCCTTTGCAATCACGGCTTCAAGGGAGTTTGGCCACCCAATGATTTGCATTACTGCTGATTGAGATAAAAGTCAAACTATATCCACCTTTATAATAAATTACAATCAGAAGGAACAACGCAACCGCAACTTCCGTCAACGACTTCATTTATCTTTTTTTTTTTGTAATCACAGCTGCAATGGGGGTTTGACCACCAAATGATATGCATTACTGTATTGAAATTTTTGGAATACTGAAAACTTCGCTAATAACGCGTGCGGTTGCATTTTGTTAAAATCGTCGATTGTTTTCATCAGCGCTAGGAGCTCTTTAGGCCGTAAATGCATATACGTTGGTATTTATGCTCCCGAAAGCACAAATTTTTTATCAGCGTATGCTTGTCTTGTTCCACGAGGACGATAAAAATGCTTTTTAGGCAAGTGCTAAAAAAATAGCTCAAAATTGACAAATCCAGGGTCGCTAAAATAGAAAAATCGTTTTCCGATGAAAAAGTAGACTATTTTAACGAGCGGCATAATCAAGCCTGTTTTAGGAGCCGTTTCACGGATATTTTCGATCTCGATCCTGGAACTTCAAAGATTCTGGCTACGGCCCTGGTGAAGAACAATATACCATAACTGCCGTCCGTCAATCTACTTGCGCCTGTACAGTTTGCCAAAGCGCAATTGTGTCACCTTAGCCTTTCTTTCACAACCTATGAACTTGAGCTTCGTCCGACGCTGCCAGTAAAATTACTAATTTCCAATTTTGACCACAAACATGAACATTCCTTAATGGACGGAGCCTAGACTCGACTGACTTTATTATCCCGCAAAAGCAGGACCGCAAAACTGAATCGCCTGAATGCTTTATTTATATTGTAATATACTGACTATACTTTATTTATATTGTAAAGACTGAGTACCGTAATCAGTTTAATCACCGTACTTCATTAAGATACCGATGCGGTGGGTGAAGTTCGCTACAAATCTTAGCTTATGCCGCTCTCCGCTACGCTAATCATGGTAAAGTACAAGGATGTGTTTCAACATTTAAACCTTGCATTGACAGTTAATTCCCTCTATTTACTCGAGCACAAGCGCTAACATTTTGATTTTTTGATATCATGCTGTTATTTATTACACTGCCGCTAATTTTTTTCCCTAGGTCTTGGCAAGGTAGGTGCACTATGTGTAGGTAACAATTACAGTAATATTATTTTATGAAACTGATGATGGAAATGGAGAATTTGACTATCCTGGCCTAACCTAACGTAAGATAAACAGAATAACTTAAAACAAAACAGAAATTTAGTGGTGGGCCTATATCAGGATGATACCGTTCTTCACCTATTACAAACTGGTCGTTATATTTTGAATGTTTTAGAAACCGGCATGTCGGGACGCAATGCACTGAGACTGTTCGGGACTGGGACTGTTTGATTTGCAAGTTAGGTCTCGCAAAGATAATTAATTATCAATATCATCAATGCTTAGACTGTTTGATCGAAGCCTATCGGCTGATTAATGATAAGTACCTTGACAAAATTACCGTAAGTATTTTTCTACCGTGTTTGAAGTCGATATACACGGTTTAAAGGGCTGCGACTGAAAAGATAACTGATATACTAACTAACCTTGGAGGAATACCTACCCCATGGGCGTGGCCTCAACGCATGAATAAATGACTGACTGCTACTATTTTTATTAACACTGGCAATAAAAGTCTCCCTCAGCATACTTGTATTCCACGTAATATTTCCATAATTACAAAAACAGAAATCTAATATCAGTGATATAAATTTTTAACCACGCTATTTATTTTCTAAAATTACTATTTTAGAAGCAATAAAATGTAATCTGTAATCATTTATTTACTGGGAATAACGCGCACAAATTTTGATAACCTTTCCAATACTAATATGAAATTTTAGGTGACCGTACATTTGAACCAACGTACATTTGTGTATATCCGTGGGTTCAATCTATATGCGTGTGCTAAAACCCATGGGTTAGGGTTAGTATGGTTTCAAATATCCGTAAAACAAAAAACAAATTTCCATAGGTGCAATAGTATGCAGGTGCAATTGTCGTGGGTTCGAATGTACATGGGTTCAAATGTACATGGGTTCAAATGTACGTGGGTTCAAATGTACATGGGTTCAAATGTACATGGGTTCAAATGTAATGAAACCGAAATTTTAAAGTAACTTTGAAAGCATCTTACAATTGACGATATTTTTTACAAATTTACCATACAATGCTATACAGAAAACTAAATAGAGATATTCATTCAGAATAAACTAAATACACCTTTTACTGCAGCTACACCAACACCTATTGCAGTGTAAGCTACTGCAGCTGCTGGGTTAATAGGGGCATGGGCCGCGGCAGCTACAAACGATCTTACGATGAAATGATCAAGAACATCCGTATTCGATGAGCTCGGTGGGCTTCGTGCTGGGCTTGATGTGCGTTTGATTTTTATTCTGACTTCCTCATTTTTTTTATTTCTTTTCTTTATTTCCTCCCATTCTTTACTGAGCTGAGTTTTCCATTCGTTTTCGTATTCTGAAGCAAAATCTGCCGGAACATCTCTGAACTTTTCTTTATGTATTTTAACGCCATTGCTGTACTCCTTCTCTAGTTCGTTTTCGTCCAGGTAAGTGTCACTCATTTTCTGTGGGGCAAAACAAAAAATACAGCTTTTGAAAATCGAATTGTGCATTATAAGTATTAAGTTCCAGGAAAAATGTAACAGAAGTTGTACATAGAACATTTTATCAGGTATAAGTTGAAATAGTCAACATTAGATTACAGAATGTCATTTGACTAAGGGAGTAGAATCTTACTTCATCCATCTCATCTTTAATCTTTTGTACTTCTTCCCTTACTTTTACCTTAATCGTTTTCTTCATTATTTCCTGCAAATACGGTTGAGTAAATGAGTCTACGATATCAGCTGTGCATCAAAAAGAGCGATCAAATAGGAAATAGTCTGTGGTATAAAATAAACTGAAACACGAATATTTTTGTACATTATTTTATTTAGTTTGCGATACAGTTCAACCGATTAATTTAAATTGTCTAGACCAGACATGGGCAAAGTACGGCCCGCGGGCCAAACCCGGCCCGTTGGGTAATTCAATCTGGCCCGCCTGATGCTGCCACAACCGAACTGAAATTTTGATGTTTTAGCTAGAATAACTAGAGGAATTTGTTGACGATTGCGATTAAATTTAGTTCTGGCCAAGACTTCTCCGTCCAGGCGTTCACCGCAGTTTTATTGTCTGAATAGGTTATTTGCTATCACATTGTATATTCACCTTCTTGTGCGTGAATTGATTGATCATAATAGAATTTGGAAACTACCAATCCAAATAATTCGCGTGATAGGTCGTCTAACCTGTAGACGGACAGTTTCACTAGACATTCGTCTGGCTATATCAAAGAAGGTGTCTAATAATAAGAACCTCGTCAGACAGTCCTAAGCGCAAGATGCCATTGATTGTATACTAAAAAGCTATTATCTTCTTGTCTGTGGTTTGATTTTGCATTTCATAAAAGGTCGCTAAAACATAATTTAATCCAACACGTTCATTTTTTTGGGGAAAGGCAAACAGGGGGGGGGGGGGGGGCACAAGTGCAAATGGGCGTGGGAAGGTAGTCACGAACCATAAAAGGTTGAAAACCCCTGGCTTATTGTATTTCACTTTTAATTTTTTAACACTGTAAATAAAATTCTGCCATTCTTGAAATGTGACTAAATACGTCCATCTTACATGGCCGCAAGTGGATTTGCCCACCTCCATAATTACTGGGACTAGATTCGTGTCCGGATCAGATTTCAGTGGAACACAAGTGTTTTCAGAACTCATTCAATATCGAATCCACGCCAATCAATACTGTGTTACAAATTGTCGCCTCCGTTACGTACGTTCACCTCCGTGACGCTTTGTACAAACGGTAGTTAGTCAAAAATATGTGATTGGTCAGGGATGTGCCGCGAAATGATTTTGGTGTTCCGCGAAAAGATTTCATTTTTGAATTTATTTCCAGTGATTTCAATTTCCAATTCCTTGAATTTTGCCAAAATTACCTCGCGGCTCTTGCTAACAAACAGAAACGACAAATTTGTGGACTCTTATTTGGGTATTCTTTCAATTCTAAGTTTTGCATAATGTCAAACAAGGTAACAAATTATTGTGCAAAATTTTTCCCAAATTTGACCAAAGAATTATTATAGGACCGGTTTATTGAATCATTATGTAAACCCAAAATAACATTCAGGATCCCGATATAGCCGGGAGAGCACTTATGTTGTTATATAATATGGTTCTAAACTAATATGATTGGTTAGTAATATTCTTTACGTATACGTCTTATCGTGAAAAGCTGACGTATTGCTCTTCTTCGAAAGACCTTGTTGTGAGTCGATCTTGCTTGTATTTACACAAATTATTGTATCTCGAACACAAAAACGGGTTACCTTTTCGAATAGTTTCTGCTGTCTGAAAAGTCGAATAAGCGTTTCGACATAGTAAATACCCTGATCATTGCCATTAATATATGCTTGGGCCTTGCACAAATTCATAACGCGAAAAGATACATCCAGCGGTTTATAACAACTTTAAACCAATTTTGTGTTTTAAGCGATAATAAATAATTGTTGTAATAAAATACAGTTTGGTCACCTTTTTCATTTCTCCCGCAAGCGCCGACAGTAACACTATTGACTGATTTTGGCAATGGAAGAAAGATATCAATTTGTAACAAAAAAGAATTAGGTTATGAAAAAGTATGAATACTTGTGATAATAACAGGGGCGTGAATTGGACCGGGGAAGGGCGAGCAAAACCGAAGCACGTGATCGGCGGTGCATCAGAAGACCATGTTTTTATTACCCGGCGCACATCTTTTACAATAACATGTGTAAATTTAGACCCTGTTGCTAAATACAGGGTATGTTTGAATCATAATAATAAAATTCCCAATATCCGATCTTATTTATTTATCATTTTATAGCAAACTGGCTGAGTAGAAATGTTCATGTTTTGTGATGGGTGTGCTGCGAATATTCAAAGTGCTCAATAGTGTGCCGCGATATAAAAACCACATCGCGATGTATCACAAGCTTTTTAAAATTTACTATCGGCCACAGGCAGGGGTCACCAACCTTTTCGAAGCCGAGGGCTACTTTCTGGGTACCGATCAGGCTGAGGGCTACCAGTTCAATTAAGGGTATTTAGTCGTAGAAACACTGATGAACTTTAGGATTCTTCAGGAAGTCAAACAATTATCACAGCGCAGCAAATAAATTACTAGCAATGACACTTCCATTTCATTGATCAATACAATAATATCCTCGAAAACCACAGGTTCAAGATGTACCCACTTTTTTTACAAGCACCCTGCATAACCCTAAGATAAAGTGAACTTAACAGTTGTACTGCCGAATATTACATTTACAAACACATTCAACTAATTATGAATATCTTGTTTTCAACAAGAAGAAAACCAAAATCGAACAAAACTGGTCTAATGCTCGCACCAGTGTGTTGTACCCCGGCGTGTAACTTGACACTGTAACTCTGACAGGGTATTGCAGATTTTCATCAGTAAGGCGTATTCCGTGCTTAGTTCCTTGTGAAGTTCATGTCAAAAATATTGATTCACAAAGATAGCTTGAACCAAACACTGATCTCGTAACAGAGGATTGCTGTTTGATTTAAAAGGCGATCTTTATCTGCCTCTGCTGCGCTGACCAATGGAATAGTGACCAGATGTGAAATGTGTCTTCGCATCATTTTATTACATTTACAAACACATTCAACTAATTATGAATATCTTGTTTTCAACAAGAAGAAAACCAAAATCGAACAAAACTGGTCTAATGCTCGCACCAGTGTGTTGTACCCCGGCGTGTAACTTGACACTGTAACTCTGACAGGGTATTGCAGATTTTCATCAGTAAGGCGTATTCCGTGCTTAGTTCCTTGTGAAGTTCATGTCAAAAATATTGATTCACAAAGATAGCTTGAACCAAACACTGATCTCGTAACAGAGGATTGCTGTTTGATTTAAAAGGCGATCTTTATCTGCCTCTGCTGCGCTGACCAATGGAATAGTGACCAGATGTGAAATGTGTCTTCGCTTTATCGTCGCTATAATGGCCCCGCGAATGAGGTATACGCAAGCTGTTTTCACGGTGGTAAATAGAAATCCCCCATTCCCATTCATCGTGAAAACCGTAGGTCCACAAATCGGACACGAAAAAACGCGGGTACGTGAAAGGTGACACCTGTGTGATGTCATAATTGGGAGAGTATAAAATGATCCGTCACATTACTGAGGTCAAATAAAAGATAGGATGATCGTTACCATAATAATTGACATAGTGTCATTCCCATTTACCAAATAAAACATAAGTGTGATTAATACAAGAATAACATAACAAAAATTAAGCGCCGTTATCAAGCTTATTTTGGAACAGACCTGCGGGAGACTCATGTGGTCTTCACGGGCGATTTGGTGCCCGCCTGCAACGGGTTGGTGACCCCTGTATTACAGTAACAATGTTACATTAACGTGTACTCCCTCCATTTGACAAAAACGCTCCTACAAGCATGTGTACTCTAATATAACACCTACTTTATTTCGCTCGTTGTTAGTATTCTCAATTTTTTTATCGAATTCTGCAATCTCTTCTTTAAGTTGTTTCACAAAGGTATCCGTTTCAATCAGAACTCCAGCATCCTTGAGTGATTTAATTTTTTCAGAAGCTCCGTCCTTCATTAGTACTTTAAGTGCTGCAGGTTGCATGTAGCCATCAGCAGTTTGCTGTGAAACATTGAAGGCTATTTAAATTGAATCATGATATTCCAGGTTCTTACGACCGCCGTGGCGTGGAAATCCTAGGGGAACATATATAACATATTGTTAGGAGGCAAGATTAACAGGATTCTATTCGCCTAAAGTTAGAAAGACGCTAAGCTAATCCTTGCTGTCACACGGTGCTGATATTTACGTAGTACCCAATTGTGATTTAACCCATCCATTGCGCAACTATTAAGACTGTTTAGGGTTGCTGCTTCTGGGAACATTTTGTATGGAATACTAGCACAAACATTTTATATAGCAAGGATGGCAAACTTTTTTACTGAAGGGGTCTCACGTTATATTATTATATGAGAGGCATGGTATTGACATGATCAATATCTGCATCAATTAGAAACTAACTGTTCTTTTTTCACAAGTTTTATAGTCTTAGGATGTTAATATTATTATTTAAACTCTACTCATGCAGCACTTGTATCACGGCCCAAAGATATTTCTGGAACTCGATTTTATTAAATTCATGAAAACGGAGTTTGGAGCAGTGACATTTTGGTGGAGCTGTAGCTAGGCTTACCATGTTAGATGGAGTTTGGGCATAAGCCAGAGCTACCAGATTTTTTATGGGCTCTAGCCCCTAACCATCTTATTAGTTTTATAACATTTATAATTTTTAATACTTCATACAAATAATGAAATCTATCTATTTCAACTCATCATTTTTTTATTCAAATATATATCATTGATTTAAAAGTTGCAAGGCGAATTTATATATTTAATATTCTAATTTTGAAATTTAAAATACTTATATAATAGTTTTGAATCCCGCTTCCACGAAACTACATTGGGGAGATATTTCATGACAGTGATCACATTAAAAAACCTTAATGAACTTAAGGCCAGCAACCATTCGCACTAACATTGGCAATATTCATCCTGTTATTATGATGTAATAATAAGTAGTGGTGTAGTGTCTCATAAACGCCTCCGATGGCATTGAACAAGCGTTCAACTTCATTTTTTTTGTATATCACTCTCTTTTTCCGAATCGCGCACCCGTAAGACTTTCCATGGCTTTTTCTGATCAACAAACATACGTATAGCATATATGTTATATAAATACCACCTTTGTTAAGTTTTCTTTGTATTC